TTCTTATATGTCCCAGACTAGGACCTAGGACATATTTTTTTATTTAAATAAAATTTCACGATAGGTCTTCCTTGGAGCCTCCGTAATTACGTGCTAGATTAAAATGATTCGGTGCGCCCTGATTAAAGAAGAGATTTATAAATATTTTGACGTTTTGATACAAAGAATGACCCTTTGATAACACCTTAATGGATGAATGTCCTTTTTTATATCTCGGGTGTTTCGCAAATCTTGACTATTCTCCTTGAACCTTTATTACAAGGAAAAAAAATTAAATTTATGACTACACATATGACGAGATGAAAAAATCTTTTCTTATATATCCTAGATTAGGACCTAGGACATATTTTTTTATTTAAATGAAATTTCACGATAGGTCTTCCTTGGAGCCCCCGTAATTACGTGCCAGATTAAAATGATTCGGTGCGCCCTGATTAAAGAAGAGATTTATAAATATTTTGACAATTTGGTACAAAGAATGACCCTTTGATAACACCTTAATGGATGAATGTCCTTTTTTATATCTCGGGTGTTTCGCAAATCCGGATAATTCGCGGGAAAGCGATTTCCAATATGGCGGGCGTCAATTTCCGTGGCGGGAAAATTCAGCGGAATATACCGTTGCGTCCGTTTGGAATTTTATGCGGCGATGGAATATTAACATGTACCGGAATGTGCGGCCACACAAGGGCAGCAAGACGAACGATTAGACCGGCCGTGAAATATTTATCGGCATAATAAACGGAGCCGCTGGCAGGACTCGGGATTGAATATTTGAGGATTCCAAAATGGCGCCTTCGGTCTGCCGGACTTTTTCCCGGCCCTCTGGCCGCGTTTTAATAATTAACCACCGGCCGGCATTCCAGGTGAAAGCACTTACTCCGACCTCCCCTGAAAGCAAAAGGTCCGACCAACGCGGGGGGATTTCAAAAAGTGGACACGCCGTGTTCCTCCGCTTGTAATTCCCCGCCATGGTCTGGAGATTTCCCCGAAATGGGGCTAAAGAAGACCCTCGTTATCCTCCCCGAGGTCCACGAGACAGTCCTCGAAGTCGCGGGAAAGCAGGAAACGAGGAAAAGTTCTCCCGAAGTTCGACGTCCCTCTCGGTATATTTGCTGCATAATACATAACCTCCAACCTACGAAACACATGCCAGGTTCTGATATGATACATTCTCAGTCTCTACTCTTCTCTCCCCTTGATTCGATGAGGAATAATTTCCTCGAGATGACTTATCTCGCAAACTTTCAAGATCCAAGATGGCGTCCCCGTAGAAATTAGATAGAGGGGTTTTTTCTTCCCCTTCTTATCGCGGTGAAAAACAAAAATGGTCAACAAGGTTATGTTTGACGGTGAGTTAATGAGCTAACATTACGCGGAGATATCCCGAAGGGTTAGGGCCAAACATTTTTTCACGTGCAAGACAAAAGAAAGCCGAAAAGCCACGACCGGAGTGGACACCCCCACGTGGAACCTACAGCTGGGAGCGACGCAGAGGCCGTTCTAACCTCATTCCGCAAACCTACGAGTAGATCAAAGCCCGACCTACGGGATGTCCTAATATTAACACACGTGCACAGACGGGGCAGGGATTTAATTAGGGAGACCAAGAGAGATGGAGAGAGGAGGGAACGCCCCTGCACGGACCAGGACACTTGCCGGCCTCGCACGAGGAGGCGTCCTAACCTCAACACGGTCCACGTAAAGAGAATTCCCGTGACCGTCAAAGGATCCACGCTTCTTGGCCTACCTATATTGACGTACATATCGGCCGATAGCATCGATTCATCGATTTTCGGCATCGAAACGGCCACCCGATTGGACGACATCCACATTGAAGTCAAAGGACGGTGGTCGCCCACGTAACAATGGATCTTCTCTAAATCTATTTAAATCGATCTCTACAGATTCAAGGATCATTCTATATATAAGACATGAAAATATTTATAAAACTTTTCTCCAAACTGGATACACGGAATTATTTGAAACTTCAGTATGTGATTACGGACGCTCTGAGAACGTGATGTTTAATCTGGAATTGTTAAAATGGATTTTTTAGAAATTTTGGGTTTCGGTATAGGTGGATGAATGTATGCAACGTGGAGTTGTTTAAAATGGAAGAAAGTGTTAGATGATGGGAAAGGAATAGTTTGGGAACCGCGGAAATTTCAGATGTTTCGTGGTCGGAAGGAACGGGCCTACCCTAATGGAGACTTCGTTTTATTCCCTGGGAAAGGAAACGTTTCTAATTTAGTTCTCCAGAGCCCTATCGAGAGGGGAGTCCCTCGAGCCTGCCAGCAGTGCTTATATCCGCCCTAAATAAAAAGGGCGAGACGTTCGCAAAACCGTAAAAGTAACGGAAGGAAGCCCATAAAAGGAGACGCCGAATCCCTTTGGCGCCGCGACGCCAATAATAGCGCCGATGGGCGTCTTACTTCCGGGAACAATAGGATCCATGGGAATCCTTTTGAACCGGCCGCCATTGTCTTTTACCTCCAGGAATGCTTACACTTCTGCTTTCTCTAACGGCCCTTTTGAAAATAAAAAAAAAAGGGATGCTTCCGGAAGGAAAAGGAAAACCTCTCTCAACCCCTGAAAAGGGTGAACTCTCGGTTTTCTCTTTCTGTATTTACTTTGGACGAAGCCACTCGAAGAGGTCTCGAAAAACCGGGCAAAGCCTTCCCGAGATGAAAGTAAATCGACGGAAACTTTCGGCGGGATAATTTGAAACTTTCATGATTTTAATAATTTTAATAATTACCCACAACTCATGGAGATCATTTTGGACGGTAGGTTTGGTTTTCCGATTCTTGCGTTACATTTAACGCCAGATTTAGTATAGTCAATTTATTTAATATAATTCATTTGTTTCTTGGCGTTTATCTATTCGAGGAAGGGGAAAGAAAATGCCGAGAAACGAATCGGTGCTCCCGTGCTACAGGATAATGGCAATTAAAAGGAGGAATTATTGCTTGGCTTGAGAATAATTGGCCAGCTCTGATCGATGCGAGCAGACGAAAAAACGGAGTAGACTAATACCGGCGATTTGCCGAACGGATCCGATCCTTTGGATTAGTTAATCCGAGCAATTAGTCAGCCGATCTCGACTTTTCACCCGAGCGAGCATCCTCCAGTCCGGCGCGACTTGCCCCGTACAAGTAATCCTCTTCCTGGACTTTCTTCCCATTAATAATCTCTCTCGATCTCCGTTTCTCTCTTTTTCCAGCAATTACCCTCGCCAAACACTTTCTCTCCGGATCGTCTCTTGATAAATTCCCCGAGAGAATTACCACTCTTAACGCGTTGCGAAATATTCCAACATTAATTACTGGTCCACACTTTTCAGATTTTTCAATACCGCACCATTTTGAATTTTTACCGCGCCATTATCACGATCGACTAGATATTCCATAACCGTTTATTATCCAATTATTTATCCCGTTGATATTTTCCAAATATAGACCATTTTGAAGAATAGCTTACGCATTATATTAATAATTCTCGCGAGAATCCTCCCTATCGTTATCGCGTTCGAGGTGGACCATTCAAGGACCTCCTGAAATTTTCCGAAGTACTCCTTACAGCATTCATATATTCATACCTTTCACATTTTTCCAGGCTGTTTCTGAGGTAAAGTAATTTTTTATTTCTTAACCTTAACGAATTTAATTACCCTCTCGACGCAATCCGGCAGCCGAATGGATCGTTTAAATGGCGCTTCCAATTCCGCGCATTTAGTAATCCCGAAACTATCAATTGACGGTGTAAAGTGAGTCATGAATCCGGTCCGAATGCTCTCAATTGGGGTGCACTTGGGTATGCAAGGGTTGTTTTAAGTGCCTTAAGGTTTAGTAGTGGGTGGACGAGCCCGGTCCTCTTCGGTCCACGGTGTGTTTATTGGATCGTGCAACCCGAAGGGAGACTGCGCTCTAAAAATAGGGGACACGAGCGAATGGCTTTGTGTCTGACAAGTGCGCCTCCGCGTTTACGTCGATTTGCGTGGATTTACGTCCGTTTACGTATGCGCACCCTGCGGCCAGTAAATATAAATATTCCAGAGACCCGTCAAGGTTGGCCCCAGAAATGGCGAACTCGTCAGCCCCGCAGTTCCCACGACCCTGCAAACGATCCTCCGACTACACATTAAAAAATTCAAAAATTACCCCCCCCCCCCTCCTTCTCAGTAATTGTCTAGACATTGTAGTTATACAGCTTATTTGAAAATATCAGAATTATCTCCAGGGATGTCCCCGAATTTAAATATCGAATTAATTCCACCCTCTCCCTCGTTATTAATAATTCTTTAAAGAGGCGACCTTTCGCGCTCCGAGCGACCCTGAATTCTCGTTAATAAAAATTCAAGAAAGAACCCCCCCAATTTGAGAAAAATTGCACCCTGTAGGTCCACATCCCTCGTTCCTGATAATTATTTTCAGAGGCGACCTTCCCTGTTCCTCGCAACCCTCTAACCTCGTGGTTAAGAATTCTAAAAAATTGCCCCCTCCCCCTCGTTGCTAATTATTATTTACCCTCACTGACGTATTCACGTCCACGTCTTGTTTAATGCCGAAGAAGACGACAAAAGGTATGATCGCTCTTAATTAGTCCCCGAGTTAATGAAGCGGATACTTCGAGGCGTACAAAGGGGGTCGTATCTACTTTGGGTGGATTTGCTTTATTTTTGGCCCAAGCCAGATGAAGCGTCTCGGTGACCCTCGGCTATGATAAGAGATAACAAGGATTCGAGGAGTTACCATTTTGGACGCGTTTTCGGTGGAAATAAAAATAATCTACATCGAAATTAAATTTTCACATGATCCATTGAACCATTAAGACTATCTGAGAACCATGACAACCATGGCTGACAATGTGAGGTAGGGTGACAACTGATTGTCAGGGTTAATTACTCTCGTCAGATTTATGCTGATTTATTAATCGAAGTTTCCAGCCTATCGGCTTGGATTTTCCTGGATAACCATCCGGGTAACCATTTGTTCCAGCTGCTGAGCTCCATGGTCGTGGTCGGAGGAACCAACGTGGCCGGCGCCTTGACCCATCATCCTCGAGAATTGGCGCAACGTCAAGCGTTTTTGGAAACTCGTCAGTGCGTCGAGGCGAGACTAACGACGCAACGAGAAAACCAGCAACAGGTTCGTCAAATCGAGCACCCCTTTCGCTTCTTTCCTCGTTTCTTTCCTCCCGTCTCGCGAATAATGTCCGCCATTCTTCCCTAAAGTGGAGGCCTCTTCGCGATTGTGGACACGACTCCGCCACTTTTTACCCTTTCACCCCTTTTCCACTTTTGACACCTTCCTCGGTTTACGCGTGATCTCCGCCAACCCCCAAAAGTGAAAAGTTAAGATCATACATTTGAAGAAAAATTTATCCGTTATTATATATAATAAATATTAGCGTCAACTTCATAGGTTAATTTTTTATTCCCGCAAGTTATTCACCCTTTCTTTACGGGAAGAAAAAATTCGGTAGGGAAGGAGATGACGAGGAAAGGTGATTTTTCCAACGATTCTGAAATTTTAACTGGAGATAAAAAATTACCGGGGAAAGGGGAAAACCATTCTCTTCCTCTTTTTTTTTTTTTATTTTTATTTCTGTGGGAGGAGAACGTTGCCGCTCGGAGGGAATCTGGTTAAGGAACGATCCATTGAGAGAAAGGGCGGATCCTTTCCTCGGTTAGTGGGTTGTTCTTTTCTCCAAAGGGGTGGAAAAACCAACCGAGCCGAGCCGATGGGATATCCCAGGACGAAGAATCGGCGCGGGCGGAAATCTCTTCGGGAAATGGGAATTAGTTTCCCGGGGGTTGGTGGAATCCTATTACCAGGGAACGATACTCGGCGTCGAATTCCCCTCATATTTTCTTGTTTTCGCGGGGAAAAGAAAGGAGTAAATACTCCTCCGAGCTCGCGCACATCGCATTGCATGCATCCGATCTATCGACATGATACATGGGATTCCGCGCTTTCAGGAAATGAAAACCACCCGAAGATTCATCCCCCTCGCGTCATGGAAATTCCCCTTTCGAGAATTTTTCATTCCCCCCATCTACGACACTAACACTGAAAATGAAAATATCTTTGCAAGGTCTCTTTTTAGAAATTTACTCTCCACGAAAATCCACCTTGCCAAGAGTCCCAAAAAACACAAAGGACGCTCTTATTCTAGGAATATTATATATAGCAAGGTCGCTTTGATACCGAGATGTGTCCTCGGATAGGTTGTTAATTAATGCCTTTATCAATTATTTATGAAACGGTCAGTGTCGAGGCAAGGCCCCTGAATATTCATGGGCCAAGCTGCAGGATGAGCCTCCACACCCGCGACGTAACACTCGACGCGTTTCGATCCGACGTGAATACGCGCCCTAATGTGAGGACTGCCCTTGTCGCCTCGACGAGAAATATTCAGTTCGGTATTAACATCGGAGCGACACGTCGCGCGGCTCCAGGGGAAACGCGCACCTGATTGGTCGGCCAGGAATAAGCCGCCCGCTGATTGGCGACTAAGCGGTCCAGGAATCGAGCGGCGCCAGATCGCCTCTGGGACCAGCCGCACAGTTTGCTCGGGCTTTAAAGCTTGTCTCTCGAGTAAAAATAACGATATTAATCCCTCAAAAGCTCGCACGGACAAGGACGCTTATCAAGTTAGAAATCCTAATCTTACCGGCAATTTGGAATTACGTTCGAGTAAAAATAACGATATTAATCCCGCGAAAGCTCGCACGGACAAGGACGCTTATCAAGTTAGAAATTCTAATCTTACCGGCAATTTGGAATTACGTTATATCGAAAGTCGGCATTATCCATTAACAATGAACGTACCGTTTTAATATCCCGAGTATCGCGATGGTCTGACAAGATTAATGAAGTTATAATTAATAAACGCCCTGGTAAGCTGGAAATTCCGGGAAATCGACGTCGATTTCGTTTGTCGGGGTCAGAGGATGCCTGTGTTATCACGGAAACATGGCGCAGAGATACGCGCGATAATTGCAGGTGGAGGGATCCACAAAGGTCGACGTGCTCGGACACGGCGATCGCCCTCGTTGTTCGTAATTGGGACAAATGGAAAATCTGATCGCCAGTCGGGGCCGAGGACAATTATTTAATGAAAAGAAACGAGAGACGACCGAGCTGGGAAAGCTCCAAACAGGACCCTCCACCATGCCTCCGGCTAGGACTTTGAGGGAAATCCATTAAGCGCGAAGCGTTTCGACGAACGGGAGCTTCCAGGATACAGTAGAAAGGATTTTCGGGACCCTCTCGTATTAAGCCTGCCAGGGGGGACGCTTTAAAAATGGAAACAATGCGCCACCTCTGGAATTTCGCGGCTATTTTTAAGGGGCTGTTTTTTTAACCACCTTCATTTTTTAAGGGCCTCTCTCCCAAGCCCGGCCGTTTTTTAAGCGCGGCTTTTAGAGCGCCGCTTTTAAATTAATCGCCAGTTTCCTCGGGATTGTAGTTAACGATAAATCTACGGAAACTTGAAAAAGCTCCCGGGAAGAATTGAGAAATATCGGAGTTTCCGAGGTATTTCGTACTTTTACAATCGAGGATGCGGAGAGACCACGAGGGAATTCCTTTTTGAAATAACTTTGTTTATGATTTTAATTTTCTTTTGAGATCGGGCATCAAATTATGTTTTACCCCCGCCTCAAGGATTTCGTTCTTGCATCCTTTCTCGACAATTGGCAATTACAGAGGCAAAGTCCTTAAGACCACTTTTCCACTTCTCGGGGCACTTTTCGCGTTCGCGGAGACGCTTTCCCGGGGTCTTCCTTTTCTCAAGCTTTCATTATTCCCATACCGAGGGGCTTTGAATCGGCCGAGGTGAAAAATAAACCTTCTCCACAGGAGCGGCTTTTATTAAGCGTACTGCCGAGACACGTGGCCATGGAAATGAAGGCAGACATCGCCGGGAAACCGAAGGACACCATGTTCCACAAGATCTATATCCAGAGGCACGAGAACGTCAGGTGAGTAATACTCACCGAAGTACAATGATGTACGATTTATATTACCCAACAATTGCATTTGACATTTTATCCCAACCGCGACGTACTTCCGACATTCGGTGGCAAGTGTTAAACAGATGCATCTCTCCTCTCTAATGCCGGGCTAAATATACATATCTGCATAAATTCAAAATCGAGCGCGACGAATTATATGGGTTAACCCTTCACCGCATAATGGCGCGTATGTGGCACGTACCGGTTACCGCGTTATAACAATACAATTATCGCCGGTGAATTATCGACAGATGACAATCTGTGCTCGACAGGCCCGAAAGTGGGAATATTACGCGGTAATATTATACCGCGGATTAATAATATCTACTTGAGTAGGTACTCACAGCAAAACTCACCCCTAAATGCAGAAAATTCTTTTAAGCACTTCTTCGTCGATACTCCCCTTTTTTGACATTTTCTAACCATTAGAGGACATTCTACATATCTCTTTACATCAACATTTTGCGAAGTGGAACTTATCACTTCATGCCAATCGCATATAAAAAATTGGAAACGAAAAGTGAAACGGTAATGTGATTTTTTTATGCAGTTAAATACTAATTATATCCATCTTTAAGTGTTTGCATCAGTGTTAGTGCGATATTCTCTCGATTGATTATTGACGTTTGAAGTAAAAAAAAAGAGATTTCATTTCCAGTGCGGAAGATAGCCACGTAGTTTTTTTTTTTTACATTTAGAGGGTGGAAGAATAGCACGTGGAATGGTGAGGATTTTTTTCTTTGGTGCCCCAGACAATTTTCAAGAAGGCATTTTCGAAGATTTACAGCGGTCTCACGTCCGTTCGAATGACTCGCTGAGTAAGCTGTCCGATTTAGTTCTGTACTCCCCTAGGATGCCCCTAGGATGCCCCTAGGATCGTAAAAGGGATTCGTCCTGCCCTCGTTACCTTTATCACCACACGGCCGACCTCGAAAGTGTCACCGTGGGCATCTTTTTTCTTTATTCTTCTCATTCTATTTCGCCCTGAACTGACCAGCTAAAATTCTAAAGAAAATTTCCCGGTCGACTGACCTCCCAAGTGTCACTTTTATATCACCTTAAAAATCTATTAGATCGTTACGAGTCTCGATAAAAATGTGGATATCGGTTTTACGAGTTATTATAAGAAAGTATATTAAATTCAACGTTTTATGTATGGGAGAGGTGCACAAAAAGTTTGTTAAGCGTCGCTGGATAATTCTTTGCCGTTAGAAAATATTGAAGTTCATGGATTAAGGTCGATCTTTTTTCCTCCTTTTCAGCATCCTCTTCGCCGATATCTGCGGTTTCACGTCTCTCTCCGATCAGTGCACGGCGGAGGAACTGGTGAGGCTTTTGAACGAGCTTTTCGCAAGGTAAGACAAACAGAAGTAACCCAACTCCGAGAATGGGAAAAGTCGGGAGGAAGAAGTTTCCCTCCACCGCGAAGTTCTAGGTGGAATACCCTCGACTCTTCCCTTCATACGGCGTGATTGAAGTTCCTCTCTTCTCCGCCTCAGTACCCCACTTCGAAAAATCACTTTCTACGGGATCTTGTCTTTGCCCCGCGCCTGAAAGGACTGAAGACCATGAAAAGGGGTAAAAAAGACACGGACACTTCCACGTGGCCCACAGGACCACGTCTTATAAAATACGAGCGCCATTTTGGAGTCCTTTGAAGTTTCAAATAATTCGGTGCACTCGTTATCAATTCTTATTTTTCACGGTATTAAATTAAACCATCCACGGGGCAATTTCGCGGGTTATTAATGAGGTCAATAATCAAACGAAGATCCTGAAATAAATTGGCCGGCATTCTCGACATGCTTCACTCCACCAAGGGGCTTCGACAAATGGAGCTTTTCGGAGTACAGTAAGCCGGCCTGTTTGTCGCGATAGACCTCGCAGAGGATGCTGATGACACCGAAGTTACCCGAGTCTTTCATGCATATTCCTTTCATGTTGCCGAGCAGCGCCCTCGTCATTTCGCAATATCTCCTTCCCCCTTTTTTCCCTCCCTTTTTCTCTTTCTTCCCCGGAGAGGTTGGTGCTTGCCGGCTCTCCGTAAAAGGGGACGAGGCGCCGTCCTTTCAAACGACTCGAGTAATACAATTTTCCTGTATTTCCGAGCGTGAAACCAAGACGAAGGGATTTTCCCAAATTTTCCGCCGAATAATCCGGATCTCCCACCCCTCGACGAAAATTCCCACCGCTTTTCCGCGTTGGGTTAAGTTCCGAGCCAGACACATTTAAGCAAGGACGAAAGAGACGGTGTTTCTTAATTCGACAACAAAATACCACCAATGTTACTAGAGCCCTAAAATATAAAACAATTAATATATAAACCGATATAAAATATTAGAAGTTTTCAAAGAATTCATGCAATAGAGATTTAAATCGTATGTTTTGCCTCCCACTATTACAAGATTGTAATTTATTACAATTAGGTGAGACATCATTCGTGAGCATTTATGCGCCGGAATTAATCCAGTAGCGGTGAAATATTTCCCGACACTTTGAGAGATGACATCTGGGAGATAAATTTATTTCCGCGTTACCTTCCGAACGTTTCGCTCCCTTTTCGCAAAGGGTCGCGCCGCTAAGGCGCAAAATTGTCGGGAGGGGTTCCATGTCGAAAGAGGCCTCGGGTCTTCTACGACTCCCATGGGCCAGGAAATTGAAAAGTTATGGGACGGATCAATAGGGAACTCCCTCAAATTAAGGAGGCTGTTTACGAGCACTTTCCCACGGGCATAACCCCGAATAACACGGACTCTGTAATAAGCGACTCCGGCATAAAACAACCTTAACGGACGCCTCGATCGCCTTAACGCCGGATAACCAGAAACAATTACCCTAACTTATGGCTTGCAAATAATTAGACATTCCCGCTTAACCCACCGCAATAATTCCATTCGTTCCACCGATATCGCGAGAATACAAAAATTGGATAACGCGAGACTTGATATTTTTATTTCACTTATTCCGCAATAAGTGTCAATAATTGACCGAAAGAATAACGCACTAATATCGACTATAATGTTTTCATGCCAATTACCGCGACAGTCAATGCAAAGTAAGGAAATATAAGTGTTTCACTTTTCGTTTCGTGGGAATTATCGACTCTCCTTTGGCATAAAAATAAGCGACCGGGAAGGAATCGAGTTATTGAAATCCGTCGAGCAGAATTTCCCGGCAGGATATCGTTTTAGCTGGCAAAAAAGGGAAAAAGGAAAAAAAGAAGAAAGGACCGCCGACATTTCTACTCGCCGGCACAATCGCTGTATCGACGGCGTTTCATTTCCCTCCGTGTCGGAACCATTGAGGAAATAAATGGGAAACGCGAAGAGCTTTTCGGAACGACCTTTAATACGATTACCCTTACGCTGTCGCACTTGAAGGCAACCTCGACCTTCGTTCGCTAAGGACCGTTAAGGTCCCACCCTTATCCTATTTACGTGACTGGTAACCTCCCTCGCCTGTACCGGATGTCTCCTATTAATAGCCGACACTACCCTGGGGGAGCTTTAAATTTAAACTGCAAGCACTACATTTCTCACGTCGATTAAAGGTGGGAACCCCTGCATTATTAGCGCCCTCGGAGGGAGGAAATATCCCTCCCACCTCGAGGCACGACGTGTGGATTGCAATCGATACTCGAAGTGCATTCAAGTGAAGAAGTCCCCTACACTCGACTGCGTTAAATTATCCGAAACGTGGAAACGAGACTCGAAACCGCAAGAATGCACTCTGAAATTTTCTGCCATTTTTACAAACAATTCCTGGAGCAAATTTCGCAAAGTTCTAACATTTTTATTAAATGGACTCTTTGGTTGGACGTATGGATTGCAATCGATACTCGAAGTGCATTCAAGTGAAGAAGTCCCCTACACCCGACTGCGTTAAATTATCCGAAACGTGGAAACGAGAGTCGAAACCGCGAGAATGCACTCTGAAATTTTCTGCCATTTTTACAAACAATTCCTGGAGCAAATTTCGCAAAGTTCTAACATTTTTATTAAATGGACTCTTTGGTTGGACTCATTTTCCCGTGGTCGGTGATGTTTTTCCTTTTAACCGGGAATTTTTCAACGAATTCGTCCGCACCCCTTTTCAGCCGCCCTGAATTCCGTTTCGAGGGATTCCTGTCCACATTTTGTCCGATTGCTTGCCAGTTGATGGCGATGAAGAGCCGTTTAAACGCGGCAGTAGTGCGCTCTGAATTTGGTGGCGATAAATTCAATTTTCAACGCCCAGTGCGGCACTTCGAGAGATTTGATTTATGAGGACCACCCGATACATTGTGGGTATATTCATGTACACATACACACGTATATGTATCCCGCGATTGTTTCTCCTCGGCTATAGTTGACGTCACACGCGAGGGCGACGATATCCGTAACGATTTCTGCCCGTGGAAACGAAAAATGAAACGCAGGGATGCATCGCGCTTTTAAGTCCCGTCGTTTATGTTCTCTCTTTTCCGAATAAATTATCACGACTCCGAGGAAATTTTCCATTCAATTTATCTCAGCTTATATGAGTGAAATAATTATTCTTTGAAGTAATAAAATATTTCTTTGGTTCAATGACATTTTTTGGTCGGTGCACTTTCGATCGATCGGGCAGACCAAGTCGTTGTTCGTTTCAGCCCTTTGCCGGATATTTATGAAAAAAATTAATCGAGTAATGTCCGGTCGAAACCCAATATTTGATATCCCGCCGGGAGATTTCGAGATCGATAAATCGAATCTGCGGGTTTTATTTGCGAACGTGACGGCTGACCATAGCGCGGCGTTTCCACTTAGGGCACTTGGACTGAGCAAACCGATCGAAACTTTTCAATACTTTCCCTCCCGTCCTGAGAGATTGATTGCTCCACTTTTGTTTGCAATACTCGACGGAAAAATCAACCCTTGTCTCCAATCTCCGGGACTGAAAATATTTTCCGGGATAACTTGGCGCCTGAGGAAAAATGAGCTCCTCCACTTGTTGACCCAAACGATACCAATCCCTGTGTCATCCGATAAACGGAATAAGTGTACACAAATTTACAGTAATTACAGATAAAGTGTACTCTGCCTATCTAACTCGTAAATCGGATTCCAAATCGACGAAATGAACTCCGAGGTTGCCCTAAGCGAGTCTGAAATTTCTAATAAATGTCCTTTTTTTATTTCTAATTTTTACGCGCCGCCGCCTGGTTTTCCTCGGCATTTCCTGTCACTTCGACGTGCTGCACTTGAACAAGTACACGACAAGTGCGATATTATCCGAAAAGAACGTGCAGCCTCACTCCAAGGGCCATTATCCGGTTGAAAGTTTCAGAACGCGGAAATTGTGTCGCGGTTGTACCGATGTACGTGCTTCATCTCCTCCACTTTCTTCCCACTTTTCCGCTTTTCCGTCCCGACGTGGTCGTAGATGCTTGTCCGTTGGTCCAGACATTCGAGTTTACATCCGACATCCGGTTTTACTACGGAGATTCGCCTTCGTGTGTGCTTTCTCGAGGAGCTCGATCTTAACTCTCTGTTCTCCATTCCTTGGTCCTTGGCTGGAAGGACTGACAGGAAACGTCGATTGTTAGACCGGAAACTCCTCCAGGGCCATGAAGAACTGCCTCAACTTCGTTTTGCACGGCTTTAAATTCAATCGTCTCGAGGCTCTCTTTTTATTTGCGAACGTGACGTCTGACCGCACCGAGAGGTTTCCCCTTAAGTTTCTCGACATCGTCGAACGAATTGATCGCGGCTTTTTATTTTTCCTTTCCGGCTATTCGAGGTATTTCGAGGGGGACATTTTCGACCTCGAGCCAAGAGGCTCTTTGATGGACTTTAAATTTCCATTAATGATCCTTAATAATTTATAAAACTCCCTAAAAAATAAATTAATATATATAATTTTGAAAACTCCCTAAAAATGGAAATACCAATTGAAACAAAATGCTCCATGGCGACTTTATGGAGCGTAATGGACTTTAAATTTCCATTAATGATTCTTCATAGATAATGAAATGTTACCTGTAAAGTCGAATGTATTAAATTCTCTAGAAATAAGAATGGCGATAGAATATAAATATGTAATATCATTTTATCGTCAATATTTCATCGTTATCATATTACATCCGTTTATTGCATCGTCAATTTATTAAGGACTATTATCTATATCTCAACACCCGATCCCCCATTGTCTATTTCCAATTACCCTAAAACCCTGTTTCGTATCAATCGCTCGCATCAACGCCTCGATGGAATTCATTTCAACGTTCAACTCTGAAGCATTTCCGCTCTGCGTTTCTTCTCCGTTTCTCTCTTCCTCTCTTCTCGAATGACAGGAAGTCCATACTTCCAGGAGGGGGAACCCCTTAATCCTCTTTGGCTTTTTCCTGGCGCTAACCAATCACTTTATAGACGTTTCGAGGGCATCTCCTTTTTCACCCGATTTTTCGGAACGTCGCCGTCTGACCGGAAACGCGCTTTTTCCCCTGGACCTTTATTTCCGATTTAGGCGAACAAGAAAACGAGAATCCGACGACTTCCCGGGGATTTTCTCGACATCCGGCTGTGTCTTCCTGCAAACAGAAAACGTCGAGGCATTCAACCCTTACAGGCGGTATAACATTATTGGAAATCTATAATTCACGATAAGACCGCACGACCATATCGATGTACGACATTTTGTTTTTACATCCCCTCTCCAAAAAATATCCACCTCACGTGTGCCGGATTTTTAATATTCACGCGATCAAACCTTTAAAGGTAAAACATAAGGGTGTAGTGAAATTATAAATTTCATATCCTGAAAATGAATTACGCCATGCCATAAATACGTGAAATTAGGTAGTAAAATAAATACACTTGGATGCTAGATTTATAAGACGCGTTATAAAACGTATAAATAAAATGTTAGAAAATTAAGATATTTTCTCTGGTGGGATAAATCTTAGGGGTAGTTTCTTTTTTATGGACCTGGAATTGAGAGGCTCTGCATGTTTCCCTTCTCCAAGGTTTCACGAGCATCCCTTAATGTTCAACCTTAAGGCTCATCCTCGCATGGTAGATTTACGTGTCGCTGACGGGAAGCTCTCAAAGGCAAACCCTAAGATACGAGATAATGCGACATCTCCGCCGGGATCCCTCCCTTAATTGTTTCCAACGAACCCCTCGTAGGAGGGTGAGCAGAGTTTGCAGGGGGCAGGAAAGATTAGCTGGACTCCGCCGCAGGAAGGACTTCCTTTAGAGATACCGACTTCCGGAAAAAAACATCGACCGAAGATCTCGAGAACCCCCCGAAACGCTGATCCAGAAATGATCGACCTGATCTAGAAAAAATACGTCTTGAATTTCACAACACGCTCCAAAATATGTAGCTCATTCCTAGTCAATTTTCTCATCTCGACTCGGTGGAATAATAACCAGAAGATTTAAACAAATGGCGATTTTAACTGCATAAAAAATTCCGACTAACAAAAAACATCGTGTAGAAATATTAACCTGGGCAACAGAGATATTTCTCTTTATCTTAACTATCTAGAAATATTGAAATTTCAACGATCCGACATGGTGCATCTGTTACCGTGAATGACCGAAATCGGAGAATGTCGACTTTCACCGGTGAATGTCAACAGGTACCAAATACGTCGGTGAAAGATCGAATATTTCATTACATTCTTGTACATTCGGACCCTCTCCAGTGAGTGTGTCGACAATCACGCACCGGTGAATGTCAACATTTACCGGTTAAGGGTATTTATGTGAATGTTGACATTCACCGGTGAAAGTCGACATTCTCCAGATTTCGGTGTTTCACCGTAACACATCCACGGAATTTGGAAATTAATTGTCGGAAAGGAGGTGATCCTTGGACGTCTCGTTTCAGGTTCGATCGATTAGCTGCCGAGCACCATTGTCTAAGGATCAAGCTCCTGGGGGATTGCTATTATTGCGTGTCCGGCCTTCCGGAGCCCAGACCCGACCATGCTCACTGCTGTGTCGAGATGGGACTGGACATGATCGATGCCATCACGTAAGTTTACGACCGCGTATTCCTTGTAAGAGCGCCGCCATGTTGGTCCTGCGTGCAGGAGGTCCTAAATATTTAAGACCCTCCACCGCAGGATATCTCCCAGGTCCAAGTGGACCTTGACTTTTCCTCCGTTTCCCGCTTCCTGGACCTGCCCATCCATGGGGAGAGGGGACATCCTTTATTCGGATGATATCCTGAAAGTACCAGCCCCAATTTTCCCCGCATTGGTTCACCTCCTTAAACATAAAGGACATGGTAAAACTGGAGGAACCCTCCGATCCTTGTACTTCATCGAACCGTCGAGATCCTGCCCTTGGCTTTATGGGGAAAATCCAGGACTCTTTTAACGTCCATGATAAAACGCGACGCTCGAAGGACCCCCCGTCAAGTCCTCGTAAAAAAAAGGACCAGGTCTGTGCTTCTATCGGCGATTCTATATCCTGCGAGGCGTTGCGAGATGTCACCATAATATTCCGACAGGATCGATCGACTGACCGGGCACTCGTCGCCATGGAAATCCCATAATCCTGACTGCAACAGGATCACGTCCTGAATTACTGATGGCGTCCGCCGATCGGATTGCAGCTCCCCCGAAAAACGGAATCTGCATCGAAACGCATGAAACGTTAGGCATAATTTTACGTAAAAGATGAAGTTAAAAAGAAAATCCAGCCAACCGAGTAATGAGTTCGTCCTAGTTCGGGAGCAAAGTGCCGGAGAAATAAAAGCCACAAGGAGGGGACCCGAAAACCGGGGCTCGAGGTCTTCCGAAGAAACGATTTTTGACAATTATCCCTATCATTCGATCGACCGAAATAAGGGAGGCGTTCGTGCCAGGGAACATTACTCGACACAACATCGCCGTAGATTTCCTCTAGACGTGCGTTTATGCGCTCTGCTTTCAGGATTAACGGCGAGCATCACGCGACACGTTGCTGACATCTCATTGAATGCGATTTTTCCTCGGTGCATCGCCCACTTTTCCTTACCTTTAACAGAACTTTATCGAATTTTATTTCCCAGCCGGAGACCATTAATTCCCCTCTTATTAAAGACACCATACAAGCTAATGCAAAGAGCTGTTATCGGTGAAGAAATAATACTCATTACTGTATCACTCGTCCTCTCGGGGATAAACTAGCGACATAATACACGTCGCGACGTACACATTTAAATCCCGTATTAAAGTACGTTATTAAAATTCCAAATATTAAATTAATATAATTTACGCCCTCGGTCTGGAGAAAAGTTTGATAAACATCTTGACGTTTCGTGTGTATTAAATGTTCCTTTCATGTCATTTTAAATGATCTGAAAATTGAGCAAAGAAACAACCGCGTCGCCCTGGGCAGCGTGATCGGAAAAGTCCTTGACGAAGGACCCAATAATCCTGAAAATCTCGATTCCAGGCTCGTTCGAGAGGTGATGGCGGTGAACGTGAACATGAGAGTGGGCATCCACACTGGTCGAGTGCATTGCGGAGTACTTGGGCTCCGAAAGTGGCAATTCGACGTGTGGAGCAACGACGTAACGCTGGCGAATTACATGGAGAGCGGCGGAATACCAGGGTAACCCTTCCGGGTGCAATCCCGACACGGATTTTGGGTACCAAAGTCCGATGATCACGGAACGCGCCGATACATTTGTCGTTTCAGGCGAGTCCACATCACCAAAGAGACCTTGGCTTGCCTAGATGGCGACTACGAGGTGGAAGAGGGTCGAGGTGGCGAGAGGAACGCCTACCTCAGGGAGCACAGCATCCAGACGTACCTCATCGTGCCCGGAGACACGTTCAGAGATAACGTGAACTCCGGTCTGAGGAAGGGCTACTCTGCCAATGGGAACGTGTCAAAGGAGATGAGAGTCATGGGGCACGGATCCCAGCACGGTAAACAGTCCAAGTGAGTCAGGGAGGTTCCAGACGTGATGGTTCCCATTAGACGGTGCTGGGCAGGACGCCAACCTCTATTTCTTACATCCACTCCCGAAATTACAGATAATTTGCACTTGGGAATCTGAGAAAAAATCCCTCAAGGGAGATAGACGAGAGGAAGGTCCTTTAAAGTAGGCCCTTAGTGTTGGCCAGCATCGCGTAGGGTTTACGCCGAAGTGGGGGTTTCGCATGCAAACTGCGCTCGTTGATCTCTATGACAATAAGGGTCCGATTTAGCTTTCGCATGTAAATTGAGCTTGCAAGTCATTTCGAATGGGCACGGATCCCAGCACGGTAAACAGTCCAAGTGAGTCAGGGAGGTCCCAGACGTGATGGTTCCCATTAGACGGTGCTGGGCAGGACGCCAACCTCTATTTCCTATGTCCACTCCGGAAATTACAGATAATTTGCACTTGGGAATCTGAGAAAAAATCCCTCAAGGGAGACAAACGAGAGGAAGGTCCTTTAAAGTGGGCCCTTAGTGTTGGCCAGCATCGCGTAGGGTTTACACCGAAGTGGGGGTTTCGCATGTAAACTGCGCTTGTTGATCTCCATGACAATAAGGGTCCGATTTAGCTTCCGCATGTAAATTGAGCTTGCAAGTCATTTCGAAAGGGCACGGATCCCAGCACGGTAAACAGTCCAAGTGAGTCAGGGAGGTCCCAGACATGATGGTTCCCATTAGACGGTGCTGGGCAGGACGCCAACCTCTATTTCTTACATCCACTCCCGAAATTACAGATAATTTGCACTTGGGAATTTGAGAAAAAATCCCTCAAGGGAGGTAGACGAGAGGAAGGTCCTTTAAAGTGGGCCCTTAGTGTTGGCCAGCATCGCGTAGGGTTTACGCCGAAGTGGGGGTTTCGCATGCAAACTGCGCTCGTTGATCTCTGTGACAATAAGGGTCCGATTTGGCTTTCGCATGTAAATTGAGCTTGCAAGTCATTTCGAAAGTAGAGACGGTGATTTGATCCCAGAGTCCACCTTTGACGCGCTTTCAGATTGGGCTTTGGAGAGAGCGTGGAAGGCGATAAGGACCCTGAAGACGAGGTAAACGAATACCTGATGAGAGCCATCGACGCCAGGAGCATCGATCGTCTGAGGTCCGAACATTGCACGCCTTTTATCCTGACGTTCAGGAGACCCGATATCGAAGAGAAGGTGACACCTCGATGCGGCTTTGGGGTAAACGTATCTCGCGTTTTTTATTCATCGATCATTTCATCCCCTGATATAGTACTCCTGTGAGAGGGACCGGATGTTGTCGGCTTACTTCGTGTGTTCTGGCTTCGTTTACATCGTCGTCATCGTGGCAATCGCCATTACTCTTCCTGGGTGAGTTCACCACGAAAAGGTGTACCTACACGTTTGATGAATGTATCTCATTTGCTGTGGATCTTGTATTTTTAATGAAATGTGCTTTTCAGGAGCGTCTACTTCTACGGGTGTACCGGCGTCAGTCTGTTCGTCATTGCAGTCATCAACGGCATTCTTCTTGCGGAAAAGAATGAGGTGAGCTTTGGGGACAGATTTTCACGGGTTAAACCAGTTGATTTGGGCATCAAATCCACTTGATCCACTTTCCACTAAGAAAACAACATAAATCACAGGAACGTGCTCCTGCCCCGAGTCGCGGATGACGGGTCGATCGAAACGAGTACTCTTTTGGAAACTTGCCATTTCCCTCTTAACCTTGACTTCGCATCTACATGTCGGTGAAGTGTCAAAATTATCGACCCACCCAGTACGGCGATTGCGCTGACGCTTTGAATCGAGACCTTTAATGTCGCCAGGAAACCCGTGTCTGCGTTAACAAAGGACAAAGGACCCCGGAGAAAAATGTCACGAGAAGCCCAAAAGTGTCCCGCTTTTTTCTAAGACTCCATTATCCCCTACAGGTAGTTCCACAACTGGTGAGAAGCATCTCGATGCACATCTTTCAGAACAGGATCGTTGCCCAGAGCATCGCATCGACGGTCGTCCTTTTGACGTTCATCACGGTCTTATCGCCTCTGGTAAAAACATTTTCAATTAATCCAACTTCCACATAGTTTCATACACTACATAGTATATAATGACATCGTCGAAAAATTCACGACCTAATGTCTAACAAATAAGAGGAGGAATAAAACAATTGTCCTACGCCTTGACACAGAGTATGGTAATTTCTATTGGTGTGGTCGCGACATGGAGAGATATCTTTCGACAAAGACGTAACTCCCCGGGGAGGAAAATCAACGGCCCCAAGGGGTGGCTCCAGAAATGTCACGAAGGAGCAGGAAATGCCAATTCGGGGACGCGTCCTGCGAATCGATGAAGCCTTGCCAGGACACTCCGGCCTCGATATACAAATTCCCTCGGAAAATTATGTAACGCGGCCGAAACGCACCGTGGACGGTGCAATTTCCACCGTCGATTATTCGCGAACTGGCCAGAAATACGCACTCGGATATTAAATTAATGCCTCGAGGTTATAACCGCGCCGACATTGTCTGGATTGGACGTATCAAGGTCCAACCTCGGTGGTACGGATGCGAAAAAATCCAGAGACGAGGGGCCACGTCGGAATCGATAACACGTGCCATAACGATACAATTGTTGTGTCGACGGTATAAACTTAGATGACGGACATTAATAACGGAAATTCCAGGATGGATATATCCGACGGTGGAATTCAAGTAGCTGCAAGGAGGACGTATCGTTGAAGTATCAGGAATTGAATGCGAAGGGTAATTCCATGAAGGGGCTTATCCGTTGTGCCTTGCAAAGAAATTCCCCGGGTCGCTGCAGCTCAATGAGCCAGAAGGAGATAGTCGTTCTTCCAGGTGGAATGAAGGGTGAAGTAATGAGCTTCCATCTCGTTTAGGTGACTCTCGGCGGAAGCGACGTCTGCAGCAATAACACTTTACGACAGGCCGAGTGGCTCGAGAACTCCACCATCATGGTCCACAGCATCCAGCCAGAAGTCGGCCCGTGTTATTACACGCTCTTCATCGACGTAAGTTATTTACATTGTCCTGTCAAGTCCTCATATAGGTCCTGATGCACCTGCATATGCATTTGTCGGGAAACTCAATCGAGCCTCTTGGTCCCTTTATACAAATGATCTCTCGAAATCAAGTGGGGTTCCATAAAATCTTGAAATTGAACACATCGAAAAGGTTTTTTTCACGATATCTCTTCCAGCTCTTCCCAGTCCTGGTGATGTTGGTGATGATGTAAGTTATTTACATTGTCCTGTCAAGTCCTAGGAATCCTCATATAGGTCCTGATGCACCTGCATATGCATTTGTCGGGAAACTCAATCGAGCCTCTTGGTCCCTTCGTGCAAATGATCTCTCGAAACCGAGTGAGGTTTTATAAAATCTTGAAATCGAACACATCGAAAAGGTTTTTTTCACGATATCTCTTCCAGCTCTTCCCAGTCCTGGTGATGTTGGTGATGGTGACCTGCGCCGTCTACCAAATCCTGACGTCGGTCTTCAAGGTGGCAGTTCTGAGCGTCGTCGTGGCGTGTTACCTTGGAGTGACCATTTGTCAAGCGATGGAAGAGGACGAGATCGAGCCAGCCGGAAGATGGCTGGCAGGAGTCTTGGTGGTCTTCTTCATGGCGTGTTTGGTGGCACATTCCCAACATACCGAGGCCACCTACAGGCTGGACTTCCTCTGGAAGCTGCAGGCCACCGAAGAGAAGGAAGAGATGGAGCATCTCAAGGCCTACAACCAGAAACTTCTGGCGAACATCCTTCCGGAACACGTGGCTGCGCATTTCCTCTCCACGGTGAACTCCGACGTAAGTCGTTGCCCTCGTACCCGTAAGAATAAAATGAACATTATTTATAATACAGATAGAGGTTATAAGAAAGGTCCTGGCACCCGGGAAATTTGATTTTTAATAAAAACTTAACGAGGGAATTCGATCTTGCAGGAGCTCTACCACGAGGAGTGCGAGTTCGTCTGCATAATGTTCGCCTCGATACCGAACTTTTCCGAATTCTACGTCGAGCTGGAGGCGAATAACGAGGGCGTCGAGTGTCTGAGACTCCTGAACGAGATCATCGCCGACTTCGACGAGCTGCTCGCCGAGGAGCGCTTTAAATACATCGAGAAGATCAAAAGCACAGGAGCCACGTACATGGCCGCGTCTGGTTGGTGCCAGAGTCCTATTATTACACCCATTTCACGTCCCAACGTCGAGCCCAACAATCCCGATAAATCCATACTCCAGCAATGACTCCCACGGGAGAACTTGAAACGTGACAGTTTACATCCTACTTAATTAATTAATTTCTCTCTGGGCAGTTTAACCAAACATGACCGATCTCTTCCAGGACTCACGAAGAGCACCTGCGACATGAAGGACTTCAAGCACGTGACAGCAATGGCGGATTACGCCCTCAGGATTCGGGAACAATTGTCCTACGTGAACGAGCACAGCTTCAACAACTTCAGGATGCGAGTCGGCATCAACATCGGTCCAGTTGTTGCTGGAGTTATCGGGGCTAGAAAACCTCAGTACGACATTTGGGGGAACGCGGTGAACGTCGCCTCCAGGATGGACTCCACGGGGATCCTGGACGGGATCCAGGTGACGCAGGAAGTCCGGGACATCCTGGCTGCCAAAGGATATCCTATGACTTGTCGAGGGAGCATCCAAGTCAAAGGCAAGGGCAGCATGGTCACGTATTTCTTGGATGGGGCCAGGCAACCTGATAACGCCAAAACCCCCCCGGAACAGGGAGATGATAAGGCGAATTGCAACGAAGAGAAATTGTCACCTAGCAATGGATCGACTCGGTAAGAACTAAATTGCTGATGCCTCGAAGTGCCGATATAGAAGTTGCTGGGTACTTCGCCGTCTATGTGAAGAAGAAACGAGCCACAAAAAATACGGCCACTGAATGGGGACTAATCAGCAATTTGAGCAAAATTGCTGTTGAGATGAATACGACATAAATATCAAATAAAAAAATATCAAATCATGAAATTCTGACAAATTCCCGTTTTGTCTCGGTTTGAGGAAAATTGCTGATGTGTCGACTGAAGATCCGACATTGGTAATCCGAGTCATGCACACTTTGCAATTGATATAAATTGCATTACCAACCGAGGATATCAGGTCACTGATTGATGAGAAATCGACGTTTTGACTCGGCTGGTGAGAATAAAATTGCTAAAGTGTCGATTCGAAAATTGGAATCGATAATCCAAGTTGGAGCATCCCTCAGCAGTATGTACATGGATTGGTAATGCAGGATAATACATCAGTAATTATCGTTAACTGCGACACCAACTGCGGATACCAGGTTGCTAATTCCTAAGAAACCAGCGTTTTAACTCGCTCTATGAATATAAAATTGCTGATACGTGGACGCGACCTCGAAAGCCGGTAATACAGGTCGCTGCGTCTTTCTTTACCACTCGGATACCAACCGCCGATAAAATGGAGAGCACCGCAATTCCCATCTACATTATTCGTACCCATTGGGACAAACGGGTTCCCCAAGGACGGAAATTTCCTCGCTGGTCGATAATTGCTCCAGTTGAGATTCTGCATCGATATTCGCCCCTCGAGGCGTACTTACTTCCACTTTTTCTTTTTGCAAACTGGTCTAACAGGTACGCCGAGAAATCCCTCCGAGAACGTTCGCGTATTACACGTTCGGTAGTCTTCGGACAAGGATTCAACCGTCAAGATTTTAACGATTCATTTCCCCTTATTTATTCTTCTCTTGCCGAACGTAAATTAAGGTCGGAAAACGCTCACTTCCGGTCCTGCGTAGACATACAAAAATGTACTCGAAGTATAGAAGGATGATAATGACGGTCCGGAAGAAAAATTCCATTTTGAGCAGGAAAAATTGCAAGAGGGACTCGGATTTTTCGCAAAACAAAGGAAAGAAGAAAAAAGCACGATACAACGAAACCGTAAAGAGGAAAAAAAAAATACGAACGTCGGTAGGGACTTTATCGAAGGGGACCACGGAATGTGTTAGGCGAATAAGTTAGTGAGAAGTAAGAAAGTAATTGAAGCGTACAACGGACACATAGTTCATCCTCTGGCTGTAATCAGACTATATGAATATATATATATATATACATATGAATGTATAAAGGAATCTATATTCTGTCGTATATAATCTAAAATGCAGCATGCTATCACAGAGATGTTGCATCGCGTTGCAATATCGATACATTACTGTACACAGCTTATCGCTGCATACAGTACGCCGACTACATAAGGACACTATGTACAGGTATACTACATAACTCGTTAAATTCCCGAAATCGACAACTACGAACTTCCGAAGGCTCTGCGAATTTTACAATCTGGCTACGACACATAGACGTGGGTAATTTATGTACGCCTTAATCTATTTCATGTACTATATGAAGGGAGCGTATAAAAGCGTGCATAGGATCCATATACCTATTTCTATGTATATAATCGACGGTATGTTATATGTGCCCATAATTATGAAAGTGGTCTAAGTGATATATTTTTTGTTTCGAAATTACATTGAATTAATTTCCTTTGAAATAATATGGCGTGAAATAACTGATAAACTCATTTTCTTTTTTTTCATTTTGACTTAGACCACTTTCATAATTATGGGCACAAGTATACGTGCACAAAATGGCAAAACAGTCCGATTTAGACAGTTCGTAGAGGTCGATCCAAAATGCAGTGACTGATAACAAACAATTGCACGTGTAAACGAATCGCCGTTTGAAATCCTTATCTGTGATTACGTTGACTCTAGTTTCGCCTACCAAAGATCAATTATTAAAATCGCCAAGCGAACGAACCGAGGAAACGATCATTCCTCTGTTCGCAATTGCAAAAAAAAAAAGATTTATGACACGATTACCCTCGATTACGAAAAAAGCAGCATTTTTATTTGACGTACGACATAACTTTCCAAACGAAACTTTTCACCGATTCGTGCGCAAATTTGTGCAATTTCTGCACAAAAAATGTTCAGTGCGAGAAAAGGTATCCAAGTTCGAGGGAAATTGTGCTAAGATTTTTTAATTAAGCCGTTCTTCGAGTAAGTGGACGTTTTAACTTATTGCTGGCAGGCCCGGCTAATTTCGAAAAGTGCGACGTATTGCTAGGTGATTATGTGATAGTAGGAAAGAGGAATACACCGAAAGTGTATCGTGACTCCGAAAGGCGATCGGCAAACATTACGTATGCGGATCATTCGATTCCTTATCTACCACGAGAATGAGAACGGAGGAGCGATAACGCGCCATATCAGAATAATATAATTATTTGAAAACATTCGACCAGAACACGTCGAGGTCCGGTCTAAGATTTATTTTCCGAACAGGGAACGAAGTTTTTGAGAATAAAAAAAACGATAACCAGTCCCGAAAGAATTGTCAACGCTGTCCGATGCATCGTCGATCCATACTGTTGTTGACATTGACAATTAAGGCCGTCAATTACTTCGGAAAATGCGTGCCGGAAGTCATTCCCGAAAAGAAAAGACTCACCTTGAGCGTAAAAACGCGGAAAACGGGAAATTGAAACGCGTGAAAAAGTACTTGCACGAGGTAACTTAAATTTTAATAAGTAACTTTGAGTAAAAGACATACGTAGAGTTAGTCCGTGTAATTAAAAATCGAGCCAATGATTTTCTTGTACACTGAGAAAAGAACATTCGCGGTACCAAGAAAAATACATTGCCAATTCGAGGAATAATTATTTGGCTGAAATGAACTCAAAAAAGAAAAAGGTCATAATTCCAAAAAAGCGTTACATCCAATTCATTCGAGTTTGACATGGTGAATAATTATTCCGTAAATTAAGAAAATATTTCCCTGGTCCAATGAAATGTTTTCTCCTCAATGTAGCCATGTCGGTTAGTATTTTTAGGATTTACGTGCACGACTATTTCATGTATTCATAAGAGAGATCTATTTTTTAATGTTCACTTTAATTGGCCGGAATAATTAACAGCATTATCGGTCGACCTTGCAGATAGGAATTGTTCTGCCGAAAGTTGAAGAGGCATTCGAGGCACTAAAATGCCGCGTCGAGAGTCAATAATCGATGAAACGTCATGTCGATTAGAAATATAATTTGCTAGACGTAAGAGAATCGTTTAAGAGCCATTAAAGTAACTTCGATGTATGTATTTTCGGTGGCCTAAAGTTGAATCTGTACCGTACCTACACCTACATACGGTACGAAACGAGAGGAGCATTTTTCTCAATAAACTCGTGAAATACATTTTTTCATAAAAAAAAAAAAAGAAGTCAGAATATTTGCACTTCCCGTACTTCCTTGTACCTCGATCACTTCCTGCCCGTACTCGCTTGCTTTCAATCCTAGTTATCTAATTCTTACATAAAGTATCGCACCTAGAAAAGGTTAGAACAACTAGAAAACAATATTACGTAAACCGCGTTAAATTTTAAAATGACATCTGACACCAAAATGCAAGGGCCGTTACTTTTGAATATATTATCCTGTACAGTGGAAAATGTCAGCCTTGAAGATGAGTCGTCAACTGACTATTTTTATGTCTCCTAAATGACAGACAAACATTGGACATTCTGGAGAGAAGCATGTACAAGGTGTGCGTTATGTTAAAACATTTTAATATTTAAAATATATTAATGGTTTTCGTACTTCCCCCTCGTCGGGACAGTGAATATCATCGTTTCCCTTGAATTGTGCAGGATATAAATAACATTTAAATCTAAATCTACCATATCACGCACCCATTGAACCTATTCACCATACATGATCTCTTTACTCACATAAATTAAGTGCCGTTAATTGAGGAAAGATAAATGCATTTGGCAAAATTTTTGTACACCAAAGGTGTGTTTAATTCCGTGAATTGTGCCCATAATTATGAAAGTGATCTAAGTCATATATTTTTTGTTTCGAAATTACATTGAATTAATTTCCTTTGAAATAATATGGCGTGAAATAACTGATAAATTCATTTTTTTTTTTAATTTTCACTTAGACCACTTTCATAATTATGGGCACAATTAACAGTTTCTATTTAAATACCCTTCCCTCCCATCGAAATACCAGCGGTAGTCTCTTCGGAAATTCAAATCTCCCACATTTCGAGTCTTAAAAAAACGTGCTTCGGAATGGCGAGTCTCTCGAATCCTAACCTCTCCACTCGCCATTCGTAAACCCGAAATGCCGCCACGTGATGGCCGGCTCCTTTCCCGCGTTACGTCCGCGTGCACATGCGCACGGCCGACCACGTTTTCAGTAGTCGTTCCGATGCCAACGGAGAGAACACGCCGGCGAACGTTCCTCCATGCCGGAAAACAGATTTTTCAAGACTATCGTCCGAAGTAAATGCACTTTCAAGGTGAAGGAACTCAGAGGTGATTTTTCTCATTGATGCGAACTCCACCGCGACGCCCTATCGCGAAGCAACCCTGATATCGATCCATCGGTTTACTGATAACCACACCGCGCAACGCACGCGAGTTGCATAATTCTTGGGAGAATACCACTCTTGTCAAGACTATCACGTAAGTCGGGGTAAATCGGGGTAAGTCAATGTAAATCGTGCAGTGGAGAATAAAAGACGACGGTCGATGCTGTCATGCAAGAGGTGTCTCCGAAGTTGCCGATGGAACTCACAGATGGCGCCCCCGACGCCATTACGCGGCGCGCTTTTTAAATTCGATCTCGTGGAAAAGAACAGTGAAAAATCATCGCTGCTCTGAGGAAGAAATTTCATTGAACCAAATTAAATTATGTATAAATTATAGACGGTAAAGAAAAGTGTTTAACGGATACGTAATTCACCGCGATTAATTAGATTATCCGTTAATCAATTGCCTGATCGGAATGGCATATCAGTGGGAATTAACACCTTCCCGTGTCAAATGTTTAAATGGTTTATTCTTCTCGCGATATTGTTCGCTTGACATTCTCCTATAGCAAATTTACATTAGAGTTGTATTTCGCGTTTGCCCTTTCAAACATTCGGCATTTCCCCTCTCAACTTTCGTTAGTCAATTTTACTCGGCCTAGATTTCGCAGGAAACGAGTTTCTGCGGTATGAGAACAAGAACTCCAAAAAAATGGTCCTAACGTTGCACATACCAATCTGGTTTTGACATTAACTCCCACTTACACGAGCGGAGTGATTTATTTAAATAATCATAAAATTTGTTGCCTTGAATTTCGAGTGAATAAAAATAGCCACGGTAATAACGCCGCGTGAACAATTATTAATTTTTAATAACCAACTTTGCGAGTTGTTCGAGCGACTCCGAAATTCGCAATATTTGGATTAAAGCCCTTTCTGTTTTATCAACGTCGGGAATTATCAAAGATAGCATCCCCGGCGGTGTCTTTTTTATCAACACTATCGCCGATTTAAGAAAATTGACGGAGCCTCTTGGTTGATTATCCATCGAGCAAATACCTCGGAAGGATCCGTATTTTTTATCTGTGTACAAGTCTTCCACGAGTCTATTTAAATCGTGAATAATCTGCTCAGGACGGACGATAGGAAAGATCATTTTACAATTATTTGCAAAGCCTTGCACGTAATTCCGCCGACGTCTTTTCGGAGCCGAGCAGAAACCGAAGAAGTCCGATGGGACTTTGATAAAGCAAACGCAAGACAATAATTTGCAAATTACGATGGTCATGTGACACATCCTTGAAAATAAAACCGGAGCGTTATTGCAACGTTCAATCTGGCCTCGACACTTTATTCAGAATATCATGAACGTGAACTCTCGAAATTTTGAGGTAAGGATAACTATATAATCATATTTTAGGAAATTATACCTTTGTGAAAAATTCCAGGACACGAAAATACAAAATCTTCAGTCTAACATACCCGAAAATGACATTATTAAAAATACGTAACGGTTCGTCTTTCTTTTTTCATTTTGAATTTAATTGGGAAAAAAAAATACGTAAATTTATATTTTTTGATGAAAATTATATACCCGAAAATGACATTATTAAAAATACGTAACGGTTCGTCTTTCTTTTTTCATTTTGAATTTAATTGGGAAAAAAAAAATTGGGAAAAAAAATACGTAAATTTATAACTATGAGGAAACAGTTTGTATATATATATATGTGGGTTTATGGTTTCCTGCACCGATAATTTTTTCACAATACAAGATAACGCCGAGGAGTTCAAAGCTCATCGGGGTAATAAAACTGGGCATACGTTGACACAGAAATGGAGATGCTGCAACGGCTTAATCATTATCTACGAATAATTCCAAATCAAATCACGCAACAATGCATCATATCTGAGGATTAAATGCATTATGTCTGCTGATTGTCTGCAAGAGCCCCGACGAGTTCTCTGCACGTAGATCATAAACATGTCATTATTGTTTCCGCCTACAAAAATGACATGTCATAAAAGACGACCGCGTTTCCATTATCTCATTTATTGCCGTTAATTTTGTAAAACAGTGTCGGAAAATCAATACACCTGTGCACCGAATGCACAACCGATATTATAAATGTTTAACATATGTTTAAGAAGTAGAAGCCTGCTTCCAAATATCCTAAAATATGAAATGTTTATGAAACGTCATTTTTTCCAGCCGAGGCAACCCAGGCCGTCATTATCCAATTTTTTGGAAAAATATCTAGGATGGCTGCGACTGATCACGGTGGAACCCACAATGTGGCTCTACATGATGGCATTCATGGTCACATCGGTAGTAGAACAAGCCTTTTTTCTCCACAAGTCTTGCCGAGTTAATCACGGATTCTCCGAGGAAGTTTGCAATAATCTGAATGCCAACTCGACGATAAAAAAGCAGGTTCAGGTGTGTAATAATTCGGTTCCGTTTTGGCAATCTGGACTAAACGTGCCGAAATAGACGTTAAGTTACTCAATGTCATTCGCACGTGCTTCCTATGCGTACTTGGCGCGGAACTCAGTCGAGTTTCTTGACTGAATTTTTATAAAAAAAAAAAAGAAAAAAAATTAATAACTATCTTTCCTGCCACGTTTCAGACTGAAAAGTTCTTCAAATCGATACGTTGCTCCTTCAATCTCTGATATCACGTTAAAAGACTCCTTGATTATACAATCAGCGCGTCGTTCGTGATAAGAACGAGATATATGTGCCTTCGCAGGCATACATTGTTTCGCTGTTAAGCATTTTGTAAAAGTACCATTTCAATGCCACCGAGTCAATTGCAGTACATTTTTGTGCCCTGAGAAAAATACGATCCCGAGATATCGCTTTCAATGACAATTAGACATTTCATCTCAGCAGGAGGTCTGTTATCAATAGCGATAGGAATCACGATCGCATAATCTCGGATTATTCCTGGGTGGTCTCGATATCGGCAAAATTATTTATTGCCAGATATCTATCGCCGAAACCGAATAACTATCCATGCCGAATATTCTCAATTTCTACATACACGCAGAAAAATAATCGACAGTCGTAATAAAAAAAAAAACTGTACACGTGCAATTATTACCATAGTAAGAGCAAGATTTCATCATCGATGCCGCGCCGTACGAAGAGTGCGAATGTCTTTTCTTTTTCGGGGAAAAAATATAAAACACATAAAATTTCTTGGAAAAAATATAAAACACATAAAATTTCTTGGAAAAAATATAAAACATAAAATTTCTTGGAAAAAATATAAAACATAAAATTTCTTGGAAAATACATGACATCATTTGTTAACAGATCACGGTCTCGGACTTTCACCAATGGAACAACATAGCCGAACACATAGTGCCGATCATTCTGGCCTTGTTTTTCGGAAATTGGAGCGACCGTCGAGGCAGAAAAATGCCGATAGTCGTGGGCCTAATTGGAAAATTGATCTACTCGATGATGATCGTCGTGAACTCCATGATCGATTCCTGGGATCTCAACATGGTCATTTATACCGCCAGCTTGCCGATGGGATTTCTCGGCGGTGATGTGGCGATATTTGGGGGCTGTTTCGCATACATATCAGACGTATCCTCCGTAAAACAAAGGACTTTCAGGGTCACCATTTTAGACGTTGTATACCTCAGCACAATGCCCACTGGTAAGTATTTACATAAACGCCTCCGTCTAGATTCCGGAAATAAGATAGGACTTAATTACATGATTTCAGGAATCGCCCTGGGCTCGTACCTCTTCAACAGTGTGGTCAGCTCCTCGTACACGATAATGTTTCTCATCAACTCGTTCCTACTCGCCATGGCGATTTTGTATTCAATTTTAAGACTGAAGGCACAGACGACTTCGCGCCAGAAGCCGCTCGATGGAGCTAATATTTTCCTCGACTTCTTCGACCGGAAACACGTGGCGGAAACTGCAAGAACCATGCTCAAGTCGAGGCCTAACCACGGAAGACTCTATTTATGGATACTTATGGTGGCCATGATGCTCTACACCTTCCAGAGAGATGAGAAACCCATGAGCTATCTCTACACCCAACTCAGGTTCCATTGGGATGTCAAAGCTTTCAGCCAATTCAGGACCTTCCAGTCGGCACTTTTTGTCGTCGGTTAGTCAAGCCGATAATCCATTTTTTTTAAATAAAATTATCCTACTCATACCGCTTTCATAATTACAGGCACAATTGTGCTGGAAATTTCAGAATATTGTACCTTGAGAATACTTCGACTATGCGCGTCCCATATTTAAAAAATATGTTCTTAACGACGCATTACTTTTGTTATTTAACAGCGGTCCTGGTTGGCGTACCAATAATGAGCAAATTTTTGAAAATGAGCGACTGCATTATCATAGCAGTCGGTGCCTGTTCCCACGCTCTGGGAAGAGTCATCTTCGCCCTGGCGAAAATTCCTCAACTTTTTTACGCAGGTAAGGAGTCAGACAGGTGCATCGGCCAACCAGTTGTGCATTGTTAAGTTTCAACACTTGTGTAAACAATTTAACAGGAGCTGCCGTCGCGGCTCTTGGGCCAGTGGTCGCTGCTGCTTTGAGATCCATGACTTCTAAAGTGGTCCCGATACAAGAAAGGGGTAAGAATTACGATAAGAACAAATTAACAGAGACCTTCGAGCGAGTAAATATCCAAATTGTACATATATATTATTTCGGTAATTTTTGCAATATAAATATATATTTTTTCGACGCAGGAAAAGTTTTCGCCATGCTCGCAGTCTGCGACAACGCGGTGCCATTCTTTAGTGGAATATTGTACTCTCAATTGTACAATGCAACCATCAGTACAATGCCGAATTCGATTTATTGGCTGACTTTCGGCACTCAGGTCGCAGTGCTGCTGCTCATACTGTAAGTGAACTATTTGTTAACGCCGGTCCTTCGATAAAGAAGTCTTACTGAATCTTTCAGAGTGATCTACTTTTCACCGGACTCCAAATATCTGGAAGAGGAATCTTTTATCGAGAACATGGAGAGGAACGACAGCCTACGTGCGGAAACTTCCACTCCTGATTCCCAAAAAAATAACACGATTTAACAAATACAGTAATTTAGTACAAAAACTAGAAACTGAGAAAAAGACTTAATCGGACCAGAGAAATCTTTCCTTGAACGGTACCAAAGAAATATTTTCATAATTTGGGGAATAATTTGCCTCAAATAAACTGGAATAAATTCCATGCAAAGTTTCTTCGGAATCGTGACAATTCCAGTGAGTTTATTTCAGTCTAATAATTATTCTTTGGATTGACCAGATATTTCTTTGGCATTATTTAATAACATATTTCTCTGGCTCGATGATTTTTCCTCAGCGTACAATTGAGATAGGTAGGATCTTTTAAATTATTAAGACTCCTGCAATGGAATTGCTCGAATTGTTATCACTTAAATCATTCCCTTAGGTGAATTAACGTCGAAGTATTTCTTTTCGTTGTTACAGTACGCCTTCTCAGCGTACTTCATGTCACATCATCGACAAAGAAAAACATAATAATTTTCCCTCAATTATGGGTCTGTAATCCCATTTTACCCAGTTGAAATATACATTTTGTATAACAGTCTCCGTTTTTTCCTCCACAACCCATTTTATCAGTGTTGGATATTAAGTTGATATGAAAGTGAAATATTGGTAAATAGGAGTTAAACGTAATTTAGTAAATCAAGTTGACAAACAGGGAAGAAACATCCTTTGCCTGCAACCTGAGTCATAATAAGTCCTTTCGCAGAATCACAGAAAACGATTTTCCTCCTCCTCCCAGAATTTCACAAAAATAGCACTTTTATGCGAACGAATGCAAGATTCATTTCTTAATCCGTGCCCACGACTACGATTGAAATAACCAAATTTGCGACATTCTACGCGCACACGCGTGGGGAAAAAAAAAAAAAAAAACGCAAGTTCTCAAGAAGTGCGTCAGGATACCGAACACCAATAGTCAGGTGAAATTCATGGAAAGTGAACGTTCGGACCGGTTCCGCTCTGCTTTCGTTTTCGAAAATGTTTTACTATCACTAAGACTTGAATATCACTCTTAAATAGCGATAAACAAAATTCGACCACATAAATAATATAATGTTCAGAAAAGGAGCGATCTACCTCGCTTTCCTCGGCTTGATTTCCTCGCATTAAACGCCTTAAATAGCGATAAACAATACAACTAGGAAAAAATCTACGTGAAGGAATAAACCGATACCACGAAAATATCGATACTTTTTCCTTATTACTTGCCTCCAAAAAAAAAAGAAAAAAGAAGTGTCAATGCCTCCTCGCATAGAATCAAATACACAGAATATGATAGCACAACAGATTCTGTTATCAATTGAAACGCATTTTTTTTTGACAATCTGATCAGTAGTTAGGTAGATACAAAAAAAAGTGAATAAAAACACACCTCATTGTCTAGACTATCGCGTTTACGGCGTTGCAAATGAATACCCATTATCATGGAGCCAACAATGAAGCATCCCATTACCTCTAGTTGTATGCGGTTTATCCCTATCTATTTTAATCTTTTCCCACAATTCTCCGCAATTCTCCCATGGACTGGAAATACCCTGAAGAAGTCAACAAGTTCTGGGTCTGTCTTGTTTTGACAAAAGGAAGAAACCGCCGGAGCAGGAAGATCATGCTCCATGGGAACAGGAATTACCCATTCAATTGTGCATACACCTGTGCGTTGTCGCATCCCAAGTTGTCACGTGACCATGGTGACCCGAATATTTGTCCACCTCCTAGCTCTCCCAAGTATAAAAGTTCGAGATGCTTTGTCGTCGGGCTCAGAGTAACCCAGAGACTGGAGGAACATAACGCAAAGAGGACGCACCTAAAACACCATGGTAAGTCCTTAATTTTCGTTTAAAGGGAACTTGAAGAAGGTTTTTTCAATCAACAATGTCCTCGGTTTTCCGTAGATTTCTCTGAGAAGACTCGTCGCGTTATTTGCTCTGGTGCTGACAGTATTGACAGCGATGTCAAGTGCGCTGCCAACGCCGTCTCCGGTAGCCGATGGTGCCATCACGATATATCCTATCCCTCAGAGACCACCATACGCACCGAATGGATTTCATTATCCAAAACCGACCACCACACAAGCACCATCTACTAGACAAACACCGGCCACCATATGATCAACCAACAACGAGACGGTTCCTCCTTTTCGACCCATAATTGTTATCAGTTGAGAGCACTAGACTGTAGCACTTATTTTTTTTTTTTTTTTAATGCAAGCAAACGGAAGAATCATTTTACCGAGCAATTCATTTCTAGAGATTATGCGTTGAGCGGTGCAAAAGTCATTTTCAATTTTTTGTATAAAAAATCTGATTTCATGGGTGTCAGAACCTTCCTTATAACCTTCATATTTACGTAGTAAAGTTTGAAACGATTTGGTACATCCAGTTCATATAATACATACAAGATGTACCGACATACAATTGTCTCTCGCCAAGTCACGTACTGTCAGTACCCACGAAACCGAGTAAGCATAAAAATGTATAACGCACTCGTGTCGGTACTTCGTCCGCATATAAAAGAGTCACGAACCCTTTTGATGTGTGCTTTCACAATTGCACGTACGAGCATAATTATTTGGTGTATTGTAAGAGCGAGTGTCACGCTATGTAATCGCACGGACGTCAGTCCATATAATCGTGATATATAATTCGATTCACGATCACTACAGATGTGTTCGATCGTCAACACGTCGTGACAAATATGCAAATGAGACTTTTCGCCGACCAACGGTCTGAATTATTCGTTAGGTGCATACAAATGCGAGACTCTTCCCCGCCACGATCATTTTCAATTTGTACAAAGATCTAACGCTGGCATATACAAATTGCTTAACACTCGAGCAACAAACTTAACTCGGTTGAATAAAGGAATATTTTACATAAGAGGTGGTCCAATGTTAATGACTTCGGAAGAGAATGTACTCGAGGAGCGCGCACGTGTGTGCATATATTATCATGTCAAGTGTGTTCTGACGCGCGATTTTTTTAAACAAGAGATTGTGTATTTAATCTTCCCGTAACCAAATCTGACTGAAATGCCAACGCAGAGCATTAACCTCCTTAAATAAACCGGACGGTGCGATTGTGGGAATTCTAAACGCCCAATAATTTTACAGCTCGCCATAATATTCTATGGGAACCTCGATTATAATTATAATCCCATCATACATGTACTTGTACTTTACGAATACGAAAATACATGAAACTCTCATTCTAATAATTCAATTAATTTTTAACTCCCAAACCCTGATAAAAAAAACTTCAGATGAACAATTGCAACGTAGTAACCAGTTTATCGAGTCCCAGTTCTACCGTTCTATGTACGCTGGATTTTCATAGAGGTTTAATCGGTATAATTATTCGGCCGTTTCGCCAGAGCTGGGAATTACGTCGACGATTGTCTTTTGGCCGCACGAGTGCCCCTCGGCTCTGCTCACGCGAACTGCTCGCCTGTCTCGTTACCTGACCACGTGAGTAGTCTCAACATTGTGGACTCTCGTTTAGGCAGTCCGACAATATTTACACAGGTACTCGGATTAGTCAGCACCCTCCCACGCATGGTCGTTAACGAAGGCGAGTCCCCACTTGGCCTAATCTACGATCTCGATCTCTTACGAGACTATACGAGAATTTGCGACATTTCGCATCATGGCAATCCACTGACGCACCTGTCGTATCCTTGCCAAGTCCTTGAACGAGTCCTCCGTTGACGTCGAGTCTCCTCCTCCTCGACTTCGATTCATTTCCTTCCTTTTTCCTGTGCCCCCAGCACCACCAAAAAATTTCCCAAAAGGGGGAATCCTAAATTCCTAAATTAAAAAAAGAACCCAGTAACTATATAAAATGTATGATTTTATATATACAATATATACATACCCATTTTCCTTAACTCTGCAATTTTCTGCATATAAATTTAAAGTATGCAGCATTGCCTTACCTTCGAAGTAGACATTTAATCAGCTGCATTTTTTTATCAAACATTATTATCAAAGACTTGAAATTACATACCTAGCTGACAAAGTTTTTTTGAATACCCACAAAACGCGTTCTTCAAACATGCCCCTTTCTCTATGCCTTACACATGTAAAAAGGGTTTATTACCGTGAGATCTATAAGAAGATCCGTAAAGCAGTATTTATTTCCGAAGCAATCAGCTAAAAAACTGCACGTGGTCGGGATCAAGGTTAGGTTAGCTCCGCGGGGCTGCGCGCGAACCTCGCCCGCCGTTCGAAATACCGCGACTGCGCGCGCGGTTTGAAATTTAAAAACGATGCGCGCATCCGACGCGCCCGTTGCATGTTTAGACCCGAAGATCCGCCGTGAAGATCCTTCGAATAAAAGATTCCACTTATCTTTGTATCCTTCCTTCGTGGCGAGTTTTGTCATCCGCGAACGACTCGATCAGTAAGAGCGTCGGTTGGTCGCGCTTTGACCGTTGTCAGTCGACTGCAACGGTGCCGGCTTGGTCGCCTTTACCACCACAAATCCACCATCTTTCGCTCCTCACTTATCGTCCCCGCACACGCGATATACAGGACCCACGCGGTTTTTCTTCTCGCCAGTTTGTCTTTCTGCTTCTCGTCGCGCGGACCGATCCTGACGCGAAAAGTGCAAGGACATGAAGCTTCTCCTGGTCGTCCTCCTAGCGCTATCCAAAATGGCGGACGCGCAGATCCTTCAACTCGGCCCTTCACTCGTTCTCAACGGGATAACGAACGCCGCGTCAACCGCTACGAATTTCTGTGAGTCCATTTTAGACGGAAATCCAATATTTGGAACCGCCACTACCACGAAAATCGAATTATTAAGAGCACCGCGCGGTTTTTTCGATCGCGAGGGGGGCACGGCTATTGTAACTCCCGATGGCTGTAAGGGCCCGTTATTATAGATGCGCTTTCTTTTCAATCGATCAATCGTGACGTTCTTTCGCGGGTGGATGTTGATTTCGAGCAAGCGAAAGTGTTTTAAAGAGACATTGCAATTGGCCGATTTCGTAAGACCGCGTACCGGCGCGACGCCTTTCTCTGCACTCACCTACGGAGCTTATTAAGGACGGTTAACGCACACGAATTGTAGGTTAAACGCGCCCAGGGGCACTGTCATACCGACGGAATTGCATTCTTTTAAGTCCGACCAATCAGGAACGCGGACTCGAAGGGCGCGAATAACGGAAATTTTAAATTTCTCCTAAGACAAAACCTCCCCATAATAACGCGTCTAATAGGCGGTTATACTAAGATTTCGAACAATAATTGATGAATTCTGAAATAGAACTATCGTTATAGAATTTTATCACGTATTAATCAATTCTTTCCTATGCACGGACAGAACAGGAAATTTCAAGTCCAATGCAACGACTGAATACACAATGTCTTTTAATATTGCTAAATAATTATGTCGGAATCGTTCCTCTTAATCTATTCCAATAAATAACGTGCTAAAAATGGGGAGACGATTTAGTTAATGTTTCAGATGTAGATATATGCAGATATATGCACATGAAAAAGTATACCAATTGGCAGTTGATAACGGGATGACTCACGTAGTAGTGCACAAAGGTCAGTCGAGTGATTCCTTCGGGTTATGATGAATTCTTTTCGCTGCAGCTATTTAGAAATGCAGAGTGACCAGTGAATCATTTCGGCTTATCGGATTGACTTATCTTTCACCATAAACTATGCAATAAGGAAGAACCAAGGCAGAATACATTTTGAAAATTCCCATTTACGATTTCCCGTCTTCTGCCGATCCGTTGGGTAACAAAAGAAAATGACAACAGTGCCACGCGAGACTCACGAAACCGAATAAATTTAAAACCACTTGTGTTTACTTTCTTCAACCTCCATCCATGAATGACTTTAGGCACGAATTACGCGATGCAAAACCAGTCCCAATGTTCTCATAAGCGAATTGCGAGACCCGACATAAACTGGACAATAATCGGCGAGTTATCTTACGAATATCCCTGACCTCTCGCCGAATAAAGATTAATATTTGATCTTCAATGAAAAGAAAAAAGAAATCATGCGCGTTGGAAGTAAAACTTCTAGATTGCGGGAAATCACGAGATACTATTCATTTTTGCTACAAAAACCCCCTTCGCGTGATCGACGCTTCTTGTTTCGGGCATTATTTTTATTTCTTATTTCTATCATTTTTATTTCATTCTCAATGTCAATAATTAAGAGAACAGTGCACTGACAATCAAAACAACGCACCATGTGGGGCTCGACACGTGGTCCATGGAATTCGAACATAACCTCACGATACACTAGGACCATAATCGTTAAAGAATTTCCTCGGGCAACTCTCGTCATTTTTAGACAATTCCTCGGCTTACCTTCACCAGCGTTTAGGAATAATTGCCTAAGAATTTACGGGCAGCGCAATTCTCTGGAGCACGTGGCAATCTTCGGCGTATCTTTACGAAGCCTCCCGCCATCTTGCATAACGAATGGGAAAACAAGCCGAGAAGAAAGAACGAGCCTCGTGGAAATGCGGAGATCCGTATTCCGCCCTGGAACTCGTTTTTTCTTTTTTTCTTTTTACTCCCGAGTGGAACTCACACTTTTACTCGGTGCTCGTTTCCGAGCCGAGTTTCAAGTTGAAGCAAAATCGGAAGAACCTAATTACGCATGTACTTCTTTAAAAAAAAAAAAGAATTGCATCCCTATTCCTTTTCGATGATTTCATCAAGATACGCGAAATGCCGAACTTTCGTATTAAGTATCCCATACCGTTCGCGCATGCTCTTCGATGTACTTGGCGCGAAACTCTACCGAGTCTCCTGAGATCCTTGGATTATTTATGCGGCGATATCGAGAGAAGAAAGAAATCCCAGAGTCAAGTTCACGTTTATGGAAGCCGGTTTTTCTCGAGCACGTCACGGCGGCGATTTATAAAATCAAATTGCTCATAGATGAGTCAAAGCGCATACGTTAACCGATTCTCGATATCAGGCAGAACATGCGGTTACACAAATACTAAAAAGAAAATATCATTGACCAATGTTCACATCATGTTCATAGGTTTTCCTTCTCGCGCGTCAAAATCTTCTGTCAGGTTAACGAGTCAAGTACACGAGTTACGCACGTTTCTTTGAATAACAACGTAAGGTGCACCAAAAACAACGTACAAACAATCATCACTGAGATTTCTCAGTGAACCCGTCAATAAATGAAAAAACTCATTTCTGGGAATGACAACGCGCTAAATGCATTCCCAGCGAGTTTGTTAATTAAAAAGAAATTTCTACAACAACCGTAGCAAAGTTTACCGCTTCCGGATGAACTCATAGATGAACAACGGCGATACCGAAAGCAGATACAAATCTCAGCTCCGCTTTAAAACAGATTTGTGTCCGTTTTTGCTCGAGGCCGTAATTACGCGGGATCGGAAGGAACAAGGTCGTAAAACGCTCGCTTCCATAGTTAGAAGTAAATATTTTATATTCCCCCATAAAGCATGAAATGAACCGAAACAATAAGAACGGTTATGGCAAAAGAAATTAATTTCTCTCCGGGTTCGTCGAACCTGCTCGAGTTTCTCTTCGATCGGTGCAGACAATTTTCGTCAATATGCACATGTCGGATAATGTGTGCCCATAATTATGAAAGTGGTCTAAGTCATATATTTTTTAATAATAATATTAAATATGGCGTGAAATAACTGATAAACTCATTTTTTTTTAATTTTGACTTGGACCACTTTCATAATTATGGGCACATGTCATCGAGGGCAATAAAGGAATGATTATTCATCGAGAGAATTACAGAACCATCCATGTCGGAATCTTTTGCGGTTAAAATGACAAAAGTGGACATATTATACCTAAACCTCGTTTGCGTAAAGCCACCATCGGTGACAATGGCTCGTAAATGTCGTACGCTACTTAGTTTCTTCTCTTTTTTTTTTTCTTCTTCTTCTTTTCCGCAGTATCCGGAGTTTTGCAACGCCAAAAGGACCTTCTCCACCAAGTCACGGACACTGCCACGGATTATGGTAAATAGCTGAATTATTTGTTCTAACGCAACGTGAAATCGTTTTGCTCGAGGTGCGCAATCACTCGGAGATTTATTTCGACAACGCTTCCTCGGCTGGACTTGCTTGACTTTTAAGTATTAAACAATGAGACTGGAATTTTTCATTCTGAAAAGTAAATCGATAGTCCTCTTTGTTAAATCTTGAAACCGCGTATTAAAGTCTCCTTGATTTTTTACTCGGAATTTAAAAACGGATAACTCCGAAAACTCATTACTTCCTCGAAAGTTCTTCTCGTCGCGGTTAGTTGAAAGGTAAATTATGATTTTATGGGTTCATGGTCTGAAAATAAGAAAAATCGGTTACGCCTAATGAGGATCTTTTAGGAAACGAGTTATCGACGATGAGGAAGTCCTAAAGTAGTTCCGCTCGTTTCAGTCGTCAATGCGGTAGAAAAGCCGAAGAACTTGTTACTCAACGCCGGAAGAGCGACGACTGATTACAGTAAGTCGAAAGCCTCGAGTGCCTCTTGAAAGTAACACTAATTCTAAAAAGGACAGTCGATAGTGCTGCTTCGAGAGGACTGGAGTTCAAGCTGAGGAGGCTTTTGGAGAGATTTCGAGAACAAATGCAGGAAGGCATGCCAGACCTCGGACTTCCTCCGATGGAGCCCTTCAAGATCCGCCATTTGGATTTCGAAACGCACAACAAGGAAATCGGAGTGTAAGCTAAACCGAAGAAAAAATAAAAAACTCATCCATTAAGATCGCGAAGAAACATTTCATGCGGGGAATTTTCATTAAGCAAAAATTCGCAACATGACTGTAGTCGGAAAAAAAAAATGTTCTTTTGAGGAAATTGTTCCTTTGGCCGCCTACCAGGAAGCTTTTAAAATAAATAGGAAGCAATTTGCGTTATCGTTATCAACTCGTTACCTACGTTTTTCCAGTCTGTAGTGATGTTAAAACATCGTCCATTTTCAGGGTTCAAGTCTCCTTGGATGATTTGACGTTAAGTCAGCTGTCGACGTTCAATGTGGACAGGGCAAGACTTTCGCTGATCGGACCAACGGTAACCCTCAACATTTCCATCCCGACCATACATGCCACTGGCTATTACAATTTGACTGGAATGTTGGGAGACATGTTTCGACTTTTTGGAAGTGGCCCCTTTGATGCAAGGATCCACGGCTTCAGGTTCTACGTGGACACCGTCCTGGGATATTACAGAGGAGTTTACATGAAGACCTTCGACTTCGACTTCTCCATCGAGTCTGCTGACCTCGACCTGAAGGAGTTCATGGGTGGCGGAGAAGTCGGCGAGGTCATGAACGAGGTCGAAACCACCGATTAATAGAATTAATTGTAGGAAAATTTAGTTATCTACAAAATGGAAATTCTCATTGGCATCGTTTTAGGTCTTGGAGAGTCTGACGCCGGAAGCTCTGCAGATCGTCAAACCGGAAGTCCTTCCGAAGGTGCAGGATTACGTGGCGACAAAAGCAAACGAGACAATGCGGAATCTAACGACAAGAGACGTTATCAGGATTCTACTAGGAGAAGCTAACATCAGGGATTTTACGCACCTTCTCGTCCCTTAATCAAAGTTTTCGCGTTGTTCAAAATGGACTTGGCAGATTTGTCCTCCTTGGACATCGGGATGTGCCGGAGAAGTTATCTCGCCGATGATAAAAAAGCTCTAGTATTAACAGGTCCGCTGAGAAACGAGTGACTTTGAAATTCCGATTTGAGCTTCGTATCGTAATTAATGCTCAAAGGCTGGCCCATGGAAATTTGCATTCTTGCTTGCCAATTGTCTAGTATTTAAGAAATATGACCCGTCCTTTAAATGTTATCTACTCCTTTATCTGAAAGCAATTGAAAATTTCTAGTGAATATCTGATAGCATACCGGTAAGGAATACCTGCAGATTTTTAGGAACTACGTTAACGTTGTTTATGAAATTATTTGTCGTTACAGTAGGAGCCTTAGTTGGTATTTTAATCTTAACGTTTAGTTAGAGATATCGTTAACTTTGTAGAGAGCGAGATCAGGAAATACTGTGGCGCCATCCGTGATCAGCTGGCCTAAACGTTTAGCTCGTCAGAACTTCCTACTCGTGATAAAACCTGTATCCTATAAGTTACCAATAGTTAATAACAGTATAAAGTTACTACACCGTTTGTGGAGATTGATTTTTCACAAAGTACAATAAATCGTTATTTTTCATACGACAGTGACCAAACAAAGTTTGTAAAATACGCTAGAAAAAAATTGTTACAATAACGGAAAAATTCGAGTTCAACGTCAAACGACATCTCGCGGCGACATTTTGTATTACAAAATCTCGGTCGATATCAAAGAGCGCGTAAATGAATTTTAAATATAAATCATGCTGAACTCATTTACGGTGTATATAAAATCTGATTAAGTACATTGACAATTTAGAGAACCGTATAAATGAAAGGTGATTAATTTTAATAACGGGTGAAATGTTGAAAAAAAAGATTACAGGTTTACAAACAATTTCATCCGAGGCGGAAGGGAATATCTGACGTCTGTCACGATTTATTGTACACTGTGTTGAGGAATCGAATTAATGTAAATTTAATGGTGTCTTCACCCGAGCCAGTCAATTCATCGCGATATTTACAGAGACTATTGACACTAATTTCCAATTTTCTGTCGTACCACTTAAGGCCAAATAAGGATATGAATGACGCAAGCCAGAAGTCTAGCTTTTCCTAATCTCTCAATTAAGATCATACATCAATCCGAGGCATAAGGCCATAATCGAAAAGACAAGCTAACTTCAGCCAACGAGCCATTCCAATCCCCATTAGTCGACAGAAATCGATAAAATACTCATTCTTTACGCAAGTATGTACTTAGGTGGAGAGATAAAGAGATCCTAGACAATCGTTACTATCTTTTCTCTCCATAAATGCGCAGTTTTCCACATAAGCGCCTTCCTCCGTATCCGCAGAAATTGCAACAAATTACTAGCTTGTCCAAAAAAAAAAATCGACCCTTAAAAATATATAATAGTATTAGTGTCGCAAGAGACTTTAGTGAAATATTAGTCAGTTCTATTTTCATGAAAATATCTTTTCTCTGTAGAGTGAAATTTATTTTGGAAAGACTATATATAGATCAAAGACATTCACGGTATCTCGTGAAGTTAAGTGCAACTTTCAAGTACAGTACTTAAAGAGCCGTGTTTGGAGATAAGCCAATTTCATCATTTTCGCATTATCAACTCTCCGAAGTGAACATCGATAAAAAGCGATCGCTGATGGTAGTCAACAATGTTACGTCCTATGCGTAGGCTCTGTTGAATTTTCTGAGCTATTTTCGACAATATGGCCGACTTAGAAAGGAGGAACAAGTTCAGGCCGAGACGTTGAACGTTATTCCTCATTGCCAACGGAAATATTTACGCGATCGGCCGAAGTAAATCGAGATGCCTCGTTCCGATTATCGTGCTCGCATTAATCTTATCATCTCTCAAGTTCCCCGGCATCTTGGAATTATATTTCATACGGTCCCTTGACACGCACGTGGGCTCTCCCCAATTTCGAAAAGTGGACGACCACGACCGTGTAAAGATTCCCTATCGAGCTCTTCGATAATTGTCTAATATCTCTAGACCATATCCTCGCGTCTGTCCTCGGTGAAACAAAGGATAAGATTTAATTAAGAAGGATCATATTTTTACACCGAAATTGTAAAGTCAAAAATGATTGTACTAAATTTTCGACATTAATTGGTCGGCAATTTTATTACAACTAGGTGCTGAGAAAAACTTCCTCGATAAAATGTCTAGAGAGCTTTTCAGATACTGGGGAAGAATTAACAGATTATGTTCTGAACGTGTCTCGAATTTACAGTAAAAAATTAATCACACTTTTACATTAAATTTCGTTAGCATGTACGGTTTAATTCTAGAAATATTATCGGAACTCATTAAGTGTCACCGTTTTCGTGATTTTCAGTTCAGAGAGACTTTTACGTGCTTGGGAAAGAATGGAAAAATGGACTGCTCGATTTTTCTGGAATTCTGAAAGAATTTCTTGGGACATGCCGCACGTGCTGTGCGATCACGTGTTGCAAGTTAAAGTATCGTAATGTCTTACCAATTCCTGAGAGAAGTTCCGAAGTTCCTCTCGATCAATAAGGCGCAAAGTTAAAAAGAAGCCCGAGCTAACCTTCGAGTTAGTTCACGTGACGAAACAACGCTAGGGAAAATAGTTTTCCCCCAACTTGCTCCACTCCGCGTTTATATTTTCCCCTAGAGCCATATCGATAGATATATGTGCCCATAACTATGAAAGTGGTCTAAGTCAAAATTTAAAAAAAAATGAGTTTATCAGTTATTTCACGCCATATTATTTCAAACGAAATTAATTCAATGTAATTTCGAAACAAAAAATATATGACTTAGACCACTTTCATAATTATGGGCACATATTTACAAGCAGAAAGACATTTAGTCGAATCAACAAAATTTCTGTCAATTTAACCGTAAAATCAAGAAACTCACCAGTTTTGAGCTAATTTTCAGGAAAATGCAGACTAATCTCTAAAAAAATTCTGAGGGAAAATTAATTACCGGGAACATTACCCCGAAAGGGTGGCAAATTAAATGACGAGATTAACGTGGAGACGTCGAAAAGATTGCAGAAATTCTGGAGGAACTTCTCGGGGACCTTTTTTACACGCCTTCCCTTTAGGACGAGGTAAAGGAACTGTACTGTATCGAACATTCTAAAATTACCACACAAGCCCTAGTCGATACAAAGTACAGGTTTTTCCCTGCACTTTGTATCGACTAGTGACAGAAGGCAAAAATATTTGTTGCGCCAATTTTTCTGAATTTTTTAAAGAACGCCATGTTTACATTTCGGAATATCTTCTAATACTTTATATTTGTTTCGAATCAAAGTCCCCCTGATATCAGGATTTTTCCCCCCTATTAAGCATCCATTCGCCTCCATAAAGGACATTAAAAAACCATGAACTCCCTCTCATAAAACCACGGAATGCCCTCGATCATTCAGCAACCCTAATCCCTTCAAACCAGACGATCCCATTCGTCAATTTTCCTTGTTCAATTTCGCCCGAAAAGGAAAGAAAGCTTTCACCCCCCCTTAAAATTCCGCCTCAAAGTATGACAACCCGTATGACCTATTCAATTTATTACCAGGTTAAAAAACGTTGCCGAGGAGAATTTTAGCGATCAATCAACGCATACGTCAATTTTCTCCTGAATTTCCGCCCCCAAAAGTGAAGTCGATCCTAACCTCCACCAGATATGAGACCTATAGGACATATCGACGCAAACCCATCCATTCCCTTAATAATCTTATGAAGACAGGCAAAAATATCATTCGCCTATTTTTGGATATCATATGCATTTCAAAACTTTTACCACACATAATGACTGATAACCGCCGGTTATAGTCCATCCAAGATGGCGTCGGCATAAATCCCACCGCGCAGACACCTAATTTATCTAACATCAGTAATAATTCGTACATTCACGATTCATTTTAAATAATATCGCTCAAGAGTAACGCTGTATAATTTTACTACACGTAACGACTAATACCTTAACCGCCGGTTATAGTCCATCCAAGATGGCGTCGGCATAAATCCCACCGCGCAGACACCTAATTTATCTAACATCAATAATAATTCGTATATTCACGATTCATTTAAACAATATCGCTCAAGAGTAACGCTGTATAATTTTACTACACGTAACGACTAATACGTTAACCGCCGGTTATAGTCCATCCAAGATGGCGGCGGCATAAATCCCGGCGCCAAGCCGAGCGCGCAGATCCGCGCCGTTAACTATTACGGATAGCTCTCCGGGAGTGGAGCATTTTGTCAACTCTCGCTGGCTATATTTCCTTCGAGTTTGCTTATTCCTTTTTTCCTGCGTGCAGTCCCATTGAGCGGTAAATGGACCGATGGCCCCGCGGGTCGCGATTACGAGCGCCGTTCACGCGTGCCGGCGGGGCGGCTCCGGTGAGAAGCAACAGTTGGTGGGGGTGCGAAAGCGCGAGAGAGACCGACGCAGCGGCGCCCCCGGCCGCGCGAGAGAGAGGGCGCGCGCCTCGCGAGTCGCCCGGCGTGCGTAAGATCTGCCGACATATAGTCGCACGGCGGAATGTAGTCGCGTCGAGGCTACGTCCAACCGCGGTCGACGCTCGTCTGCTCCGTCGGTAAGGGCGATCCCTCGACGCATCGGCTATTCGCTGTTAATTTATAACCGCCCCTCCCGGTAATAATTCTCAGTGAAATTGGAGATTTCCACGAATCTTACTAGACATTTAATGGAAATGTGGAATAATATGGGAAGCTGAAATTAAAAAAAAAAACAAAATGGAGTGTCGAGATATTTACAATGGTTAAAATCTGAAGAACGGACGCTTATCTTTAGGACAGGGGTAACGAAAAGTGACCCTCTTAAAAAGTGAAGAAGAAAGCGAAGAAGCAATTCTGGGGAGAGGTTAATATTTATGATAATCGAAGTATCCAGGAGGAAAAGTTACTTTCAGGAACCGGGAATTGTGAGTAACGGGACGATACGAGGAGTTAAGGAAGAGGGAAAAAGTCAGTCTCTTCGTGGCGATGAAGAAACGATGAAACGGACTCCGGTGATTGATATCCCAGGATTTTTGGTATGGCACTTAAAATATTTCTGATTGTCGAAATATGGAGAAAAGAATTATGTTTAAGAGAAGAAACTATGCAGTGGACCGGAGGGATCGTAATTCCGAATTTTTGGACGACTCTTTCGCATCGGTAGGATCGATTGGACCTGTACTTGTTGCAAGGAGCTTAGAAACTTTTTGTCATTTATATGGGAAATAAAGAGGAGAAAGTGTCGAGTTATTATTTATTTGCCCCGAGTTTTCGAGTCGTGGCGGAAGGTGGGACCAGGCGATACGGAAGCAAGAGATACGTGTATCAACGACCGCAGGAGTAGAAACACTCTGTGGAGTAATCCGTTGAGTAATCGTAAACTCGGCGTAATTGAGCGAATCTCATTGAAGAAAAAAGGCAAAACACCGCGAGCTGATAGAAGAGAAAATGGAAGACCGCGAGTCGAACTCAATGAGACTCGTCCGAAAAATGTAAAAAATTCCAAAAATTCTGACGGATCAATCGCAAAGCCCGTAAATACCAAAATACATCTCGAACACCAAGAAAGTGTTAATCGAATTGATAAAGAAGTTCCTAAAAAAAAGAAGTGTTCCTCTGTCCCTCGATGATCAACGACGAGGAACTTGGAATAAATGAATGGCACTGAATTTGAAGAAAAAATAAATAAATAAAAAAACCTGGGATTACTCGAGAGGTACTATCCGTGATTTCCTCCGAGATACCATCGATATCTCGAAGATACCTAAATGGCGCAGTAAGCATTCTTCGAGATCGATATCGATGATATTTCCAGTACTTGACTACTTGACTGTCATCGTTTGTGGTACCTATATAGTGAACGTTACTCGGCACTTACACTCCAGAGACTCGAGGCAACTGTGAAATATTTACACAATTCGTTTTACTCAAAATCCACCTTATCAAAGGAAGACATTTCACCCCGAAAGGCTGATCTCTTCGATCCTGGAGAACATCCCGAAAACGCCATGACGGTGAGTACGAAGCAAAATTGAAAAGCTAGTTTTAGTATTCAAATTCCCCAATTTTTCGGACTTTCTTCGAACAACTTCTAACACCAAGGACATAAAAAGTAGATTGCACCGGGAGAAAGTTAATTAAAATCTCGTGATCCCGAAGCGAGAATTATGTAGATTGCATAAATCAATGTTCGTAAAGCGGGACGTAAAGTTTAATGATCCTATCACGTCGCCCTTATCTTCGGCTGAATTAAACCAATAAATCGATAAATCGTGCGAATGGGAGCCGCGCTGACCTGGTGCGATGTACACTTGAAATCAGGATTAAATAAATCAGATCAATCGGTGTTTGCCCGAGAGATGAAGTTTCCGATCTCTCCCCGGTCATGGAATTCATTTACCGTGTTTTACATCCGCCTCTCAATAAGCCCGATAAATAGTATTAATTGGAAACGTGATATTCCGATTTATCACGGTTCACTCATTGATATTAAATAGATCATTGTAACGCAGATAAATTCAGGAAGGATTATGGATGGTCCATTTACATTTTTGGATAACGAATTTTCAGACCGGAAGATCTAATCGCGTTTATCGGTGCAGTGCCTACTAGGGAGTTAATTCTTTAATTATCAAGTTTTATCAAAGTAAATCGCCAGGTACACGCAAAGTGTCTTATGGGCTAATCACTGAAGATCTCAGATATATTCTCCGGTGATAATTGACTCCTTATCGCCCTCTTTTTCTGCCCAAATTGCATAAATACAACGAGGCAGAGCGCAAAATAACATTTATCATCGATACTTTATTCTTCATCCTTAGGAAATGAAAATTAAATATTTTCTGGATTTGCTGGAAATTCACCTCCACCCTGAGAGTTAAATTACGCGAGTAAGAAATTCCTCGAAATAATTCGCCGGTAAATTACAGTGTTCTCGTGCTCGGATTTTTCGCATTGAATTCCCAGAGTTAAAATACAATTCCTTTTTCATAACCCTCCGTTAACATCTCTTTTACGCAGCCATTAAGCTGTCCTCTTCCCACTTAATTCCATCCCGTCTTGTAAGATAGAAACTGAAGCTCGAGCCCGAAACTGCGCACAATACTTGTTTATCCTTATTTCCTTTAAAAATACCACACTGATAAAAATCAATCGAGATTTACATACACTTTTACGCACAGAAATGTTTTCGGGTAACGAAGGAATATAAGTTCTCGACTAAATGATTTTTTTCCCCAGCGACAACAAACTATACATCATTTGATCAAGTAGTAATAAAAAATACATTTTTCACCATTATTTGCTAATCTAACAATTTTCTTCTAAGGGGAGTTCTCTCGTGGTTATATCTACGTTTTTCATGATCTTTGCCGTTAGTGCGATTAACATTACAACGCGTAGAATGTTTTCTCGGCAATACTTCTTTGCCAAGGGTGCAAATCTCTTTTAATTTTATTTTCGGTCCAGGTGAAATATCGTGGAAATTCTTCCCGTAGGAGTGCAACCTCATTTAGGTCAGACGCAGGAACGTAATCCATTCCGCAGTAGTAGATCCACGTTTGGGTCAGCCGATTCGAAATCCCGCAATTACCATCAACTTTTCCCTCGTTACCTTTATCCACCGGTTACCACCCGACAATAACTCCACCTTCTACCAGCCCTTTTCTCAGACAGCGTCTTAAAAAGTGAAAACAAAAAGAGGAAACAAAACAAGTCCACTTTGTGACCGAAGAATCGGATTCAGCTCCAGATTCCGAGGATTCCGGAAATTAAAAGAACAAGATCCTCAGAACTGGGTCAAACGGGCAATAAGCTTTTAACGGAAAAGTCAAGACTGAAATCTGGGATCCTCTCCCCAAGCCCCGAAAAACATCTTCGAAAATGGCGGAAAATTAAAAAGCCGACTTTTGACTCCGGGACTACAGCTGCGCGTCTTGTGACATATGTGCCCATAATTATGAAAGTGGTCTAAGTGAAAATGAAAAAAAAAATGAGTTTATCAGTTATTTCACGCCATATTATTTCAAAGGAAATTAATTCAATGTAATTTCGAAACAAAAAATATATGACTTAGACCACTTTCATAATTATGGGCACATATGATTCGGGCAACAATATATGTATATATTCGTTTCAGTCAACTAATCTTTTATTCTCAGTTAACGCACGTGCTGTCGAAAGTCGAGTTGTAAAAGGTGTCGCACTATCGCCGACACCTGCGGCCTCGTCGGAAAGAGAGACTCCTCGAAAACGTGGATCGTACCTGAGCTGCGAGGTCAAGACCAAACTGTCTGTCTCGAATTTTTATCGATATACAAACTCTTGATCGATTACGAAAGGTCGGACACGTGCGGATCTTCCGATCGGTTTCGAGCGAGTGCACTGCCGTCGTTAATGAACGCCGAGCCATTTTTCATTTTTTTTTTTTTTTCCTTCAAATCTCTTGAGAGTTTCAGATAAAACACGTTTTTGTCATTTATCTCTTATAGGAATTTCTCCTTCGGGCGTCGATCGTAAAAAAAAATCGCTTACCTCGGCGAGAAGTGCAAGCTCTTCCGGTAGGGACGAAAGTGCGACTTAAGGAGCCATTTAATGGAACTAAAATACTTGATTAGAATATCTCGCCGGTTTTGGTGGAGTTCTATGTCCGAGTGGACGGTATACCCACGAGGGAACCAGCCTGGCGAGAAATTGCATTACCGTAACCTACATAATCTACATAGACCACGGTGGAACGGCGATGAGCAAATTGCGGAGAATCGTAAGAACGCCTTTCCCGACTATCTCCCATGGTTAGATTTCGGTCAGACTTGGGGGAACTAAGGAAAATTCCCGGGTACTCGTTCAGTGAGGAAATTCGATTTTCACTCTTGTCACTCGGCGTAATGGAGCTTGGTTGCCGGCCGGCGCGAAAGGAATCGCGCTATCACGACTTATGGATATGGCTCGCGATAAGGCCGAGGAGGAGAAAATGGAAAAGGATATGAGAAGGAAACTGAAGTGGGTAGACGATAAGAAGAGGGATAAGAATCGACGATATGTGCGGCGACCTCGCCTACCTTGAAGAAAACTTCCTCCCTTAAAGGAGGAATTTTCGACCTTGTCCTTTATCGACGTTTGGATTTAATTAAACCTAATCGTCCATTTTATATTAATTAAATGAAAAAAATGAGGATATTAAATAACTGAAATCATGAAAAAAAAAAACGAATTCTATTCGACGAGGAGAAACGGACTATTGTACATTAGACAGGCCATGGAATTTACATAGCAGGTGAAATACCACGATCTTCAACTTCTCCTTCTAAATTCCATCTCGGTGCATCTCCAAACATTCCATCCCAAACCATGGACCAAATCCTGTTCGACTATTCGGAATATCTCAACCTAATTCTCCAATGTATAAGCCCATGTAAATTGGAGCACACCGTTGCTCCCGGCTCTCTAAACCGGAAATCCTGTGTCGAATTAGTCACGAAGCTGAATTATTAAAACCTACAAGCTAGAAGCAGGGGATGCAAGAAATTCTAAATCGTAGCATCTCGCAATCTCAAGTAAAAATTTCCCAAGCTGGTCATTTTTCTTCCCCTAAAATTCTCACTTCCTAAACAATAGCTTACACTTTACATGCGATGGAAATTAATCCCGAAGAATTTCTAAATGTGCTCAGTCGTGGATAAATATCTTTCAATATTCTAAAAAATTGTTTCACTACACGCGCAATAATAAAATATTTACTTGTAGGAATAACAATATCTTCCTGGCAGTTGCAAGAAATTCCTTTGCTGATTTAGCATGATTTTTCCTAATTTGATGTAAATGGAAATATTTTAGTTAGACAATCCTGCCCGTTATTTAAAGTACAAATGTCATTTTTTTTTTTCCGAGAGTACGTCGAAAATTAATCACGAGAAATTCCGAGAGGGAATAAATCTTTGAAAAAATTCAAGGATCAAGGATCTGCAATTGGTCCATTCACATCTGAAATGCACGGCTCCACTTTCTCGCCTCTCGGAAAATCTGTCCGCCATTATGTATGTATCTTGAGATTTTCCTGACTGGGCTCGCGGAAAAGGCGAATGCTCATTACATTAACTTTTATTTCCTCGTGTCATAAGTAGCGCTCCCAATCCGAGCGAAAATGGAGAAAAGATGAGTTACGAGGAAAGAAACTCCGCGCCCCTCTCCAAGGACGAAAACTTTTTATCACTATTTCATCATACCCGAACATTTACTCGTGTACACAGTGTGCCGCGCGTGTACATTTGTATGTACACGAGCAAGCCATTTAAAACGGATGAGGCTCGCCACCAGAGGGTGCGGAAGTATTGGGCAAATAAAATCGCCGCTTAAAGTGATTTCCTCGACGAAGTCGGAACATCTAGCTGCTATCGATCAAAGGAAAATATCCAGGAAAACGTACACATACATGGGAAATATTGACTTTGCATCCTGCATCGAGCAAACTCGAGCTTCATACGGCGAACTAAAATGAAGAGCGGTCGGACGATCACTCTAAATTTACCCTATTCTTTTTATTTAACACGGTATATGAAGCACTGCACGCAGAAAAATACTTAATCGAATCGATAAAATTTTTCTAAGTTTTTGTAAATTTTTGTAAATTTTTGTAAGGTTCATTATATAGACAATAGTCATTGCATTGAATAGAAAATTAAATACTTGGTTGACATGACCAAAGTACTCGCACTCGGAACTATTTTAAACTCCCTGCGTGCTCTTCGAGAAAAAAAAAAATGTCCTACCACGATATTTCATATAATCGAGAAAAATTATTATAATTCAACCGAATACCATTCTGCGTGAATTTTCCGCCAGATTCCGACTGTCTCTCGTCCTTTGATAAAGAACGAAATTTATCGGTCCTCGCTGGAGGGGTTCCGGAAAACGCAGACTCCCTGGGAATCCTTTAAAGCTATCCTTGCTCTCTTTTCCTTGCTTGTTACCTCCACCATGGCCCAGGAAATATCTCCCACGTTTTCTTTCCCTGATG